ATGTGGCCGTCCGCGGGATCACCAACACGTGGGACCTCCACTTCCAGGCTGAGTCGTACATGCTCCTCGAGCGACTCATCGAGAACATGATCCTCTTCACCAACGTCGACCCGGACCGCGTCTACCTCCTCGGCTACTCGGCCGGCGGCGACGGCGTCTATCAGCTGAGCCCGCGGCTGGCCGACCGCCTTGCCGCCGTCAACATGTCGGCCGGGCACCACAACTGGGTCAGCCTCGCCAACATGGCGTCCACGCCTATCTGCCTCCAGATGGGCGAGCGGGACGGCGCGTACAACCGGAACAGCGCCACGGCCGAGATGGGCGAGACGCTGGACGTGCTGGCCGAGGTAAACAGGGGCCAGTACCAGCATCAAGTCTTTATACACAAGGGGCGGCCGCACGGCTTCGTCGACAACGACCCGCGGAGGAGTCTGTACCCCGTGCTAGACTCGCCGCAGCGGTGGCTCAAGGAGGGGGATACGAGCGCCCATCTCGCGGACACAAACGCCGTTGCGTGGGTCAGCCAGTTCACGCGCGATGCGCTGCCGAAGCGGGTGGTTTGGGACCTCACCACGAGGGCGGCACGGACAAGCCGGGGACTCTGGTACTGGCTGGACATTGGCGACGAGACGGCCGAGAGTCTGGGGACGGAGGTCATCGTTGTCAGGCTGGATACCGCATTAAATGGAATCGCCATCGAGAAGGCCAGGACAATCCTCCGGATACTGCTCAACGACGAGATGCTGGACCTAGACAGACCGATCCAGGTATCGGTAGGACGTCAGGACTTGGAAGTACAGGTCCGGAGAGACGAGGAGCTACAGATCTCGACGCTCGCACAACGTTGTGATCCGCGTTGGGTGTTCTCGGCAGCCATTGACTTGGTTCAAGATGCAGACGGTTGGCATATTCTTCCACAATGACGAAGGCATGGCCGAGGTTTCAGTATGATTCATGACATTTAATGATGTAAAGTAAATATGGTATCAAATATCTATTGGATTTATATTGACAGGTAAAAACGAATGGTTGATATCGTGAGCCATGTAAAAAGCAATCAGAACGCCACGCCAACCGAAACAATCAATCAAACAAGCAAGCACAAAACTAGAAGTATTCCTCATCCTTCCCAAGCATGAACACATTCCCTTCATGATCCTCGTTCTCCAACGCCATCGTCACCTCCCTGTTCATCGTCGACCTCATGGCGACGAGGTCGTTCGCCAGCGACGGGCTGAGCGACTTGTAGCCCAGCGTCATCACCGCAGCCGGCGAGGCCGATTTCCAGGCCAGGGCGACCATGTCCTCCATGTCGTAGAGGCCCGAGACCATGTCCATCTGCGTGACGATGAGGCCCACGACGTAGGCCAACACCGTGATGGCGTACAGGAACAGGACGACCATGGCAAAGATCATGGCCGCGCCCGACTTCCCATACCCGTACCCGAACCTCTCCGCCTCGAGGTACATGGTCTGATACTCGTCCTTCCACGAATCCACAAGCCCGTCGAGACTCGTGACCCCCGCCGGCCACTTCATGCTCCCCGTGGAGGTACCGTTGGCGAAGAACTCGGTCCCGTCCTTGGCCTGGCCCTGGATATTCTTCAGGTTCGTCACGATGATGCTCTTCGTGCTGGGACTCTTACCCGGCCGCGCAACAGCCGCGCTGATGGACGCGCCCGTCCTGGCGATGGCGTCCGTGACGATGGTGCCCGTCAGCTTCTCAATCACCAGCTGCACCAGCCTGTCGCCGTCCTTGGTCGACTTGCTCGAGCTGCCGGGAGCGAAGATCTGGTGGTCGGCAGTGAGGCCCATCCCGACCATCGGGTTGAGGAGGTAGGCCATGTTGTCAAAGGCCGTGTAATTCTTCCCGTTGCTGGACGGCGCGGCCTTGAGGTCCAGGAACGGCAGCCACGTCTTCTCGATGTTGATGTAGGACCCGACGGCGGCGCGCGGGCTGCTGGCGTTGCGGAGGTCGGTGCCGGAGAAGATGCTGAGGTCGGTGACGTTGGACTCAGTCCTGATGTTGTTGCTCGGGTCGACCATGAGGGTGGCTGGCAGCCAGTGGGCCACGTAGCTGCATGTTGCGATCCTCTTGCTGGGCTTGCCCTCGTGGACGTAGGGCAGCCTGGCAGTGAAGACGAGGAAAGACAGGTCGGCGTTCTGGACTGTCTTGCCGCCGACGACGTTGAAGAGTGTGTCGATGTCATCCCTGTCCCAGACCACGCTTGGGAGGACCAGCTGGCCGAGCTCGGCTCGGATACGTTGGCATCTGTCCGTGGAGTCGCTGGTGAAGCAGTTGAAGGTATTCGGGAACGACATGGGCGGGATGTCGGCGACCTGGGCATAGTCGTTGCGATTGTAGATGTTGCACTTGGCCTGGATCAGCGGCTGGAAGGACTGCGACTTGGCCGTCACCTGGATCTTGTAGTCCTTTGTCTGGGAGATGGATCCGACATTCTCGGCGGCGATGTAGTTGTTCAGCACACCCAGTGTTCCCACAGACAGGGCAGTCGGGCTGGTGAAGAGCGTGCCGTTCAGCCCGTTTGACCACATGTCCAGCCGACGACTCACAGTCCCGGAAGAGTCTCCGAACGTGACATTGTTGGGAAGGTCTCGCGACGTCCATCCAAACTCCCAGTCATAGATGGTCGACAGGCCTGCAGCGGGACAGTTGCTCGTGTAGCTGCCCAGCTGGCCCCTGCAGAATCCCAAAGCCGCATCGTCAAACAGTGATGCGTTGAGACTGGTGGGATACACAGCCTCCTGCTTCCCAACAAACACGGGCATGTACATATTCGAGAACGCGCCGGGCAGAGCGTACCATCCCAGCTTGGGGATGACGAGGATGGCGGAGGCGGGACCGACGAGCGCGCACAGAAGAACGCACAGAAAGAGCAGCGCCGACAGCCAGACGGCACGGGGAGCGGCCGACCAGAACCGCGGACGGAGGATGTACATGACATCGAAGACCCTATAAGCTCCCGTCAGGAGGGAGAAGGGGAGCCCCTGGTGCGCAAAGTGCCATTTGAAGATGTCGAGGATCAGGGTGCCGAGGGACGCGACGACGGAGATTTCGAAGAGCTTGGCGGCGAGCTGGAGGGAGTTGAGGACGCCGTTGACGGGCGTGTTGTAGGAGCCGATGTAGGAGCCGCGGTCACGGCCGTCGATGCCGGTGAGCGGGAACCAGTAGAGCTGGGCGAAGTTGATGTAGGCGAGGATCACGGTGCAGGCAATCGGGACGAAGTGCAGGACGACAGCCCACCATCGCGTCCGTCTGCCTTGCACGACAGTTGTCGGTGTGTATGGCGGGTAGACGACCATGGCAACGGGATGTGGGAGGATGTTGCCGGTGTGGTCAATTGATCGACGGAGCAATCAGTGGAGGATCAGCGGGTGCCACAGATCAGAAGACTTTGGGGAAGGGGTAATTATTAGATTCGGATGGGAAAATAAAAGAAAAAGCTGGCACGAAGCCAACCCGCCTCAAGAGATGCGACAAAGACATGGCCCAGCACAGCCCACAAGGCAGCTCCCAGGCAGAAGAGTGCTCTTCCCAGACAGCAAGTCCTTGTACCATTCTGAATGGGTGGCTTGTGCATGAAGAACAGCCCTTACACGCAGGGAGCGAGTGAGCCATCATGCGTGATTGGTCTGCATGGCATCTCGAGCTCGGAAGTCTAGACCAAGCCACTCAGCCCAAACCTGTCACCCGGCCTATCGTCTGCCGCCTATTTCTGCAAGTGCCTGGAGCTGAAAACTTAGCCTGCCCCCGGGAGCTGTTGATTCAGTAGTTGACCAGACTATTCACCAGCTGAATCAAGGCACTGCTCGGCCCTTGGCTTCATTCCACGCAAGAGGCACCGCTGAAGCTTCTTTTTAAGCTCACTATTGTCTTTCATCTAGCACCAACAATCATCCCTCTGGGCTTAAGCCAAAATTCAAGCTTACTCTTTGCCTACCTACATCAAAACTGGCCCCGGCTCTCGCTCACTCAGCTAGCTCGGCTCGACGCGAGATCCCCGCATAAGGTTGGAGACATGAATATGGATGGACCTATGACCAGGGTCTCAGTGAGGGATCAACACTGCCACCATTATGCTGCCCCTGTCTCGGTAGGGCTGGCTTTAGGTCGTGGCTTTGCTTCGATAGACACTCCTGCCACTCTCCAAATAGCCACCAATGATGAGATTTGTCAAAGAAGCAAGCTAAATTTACAATACCACTTTATCCGTCGCCTTGGGTCCAAGTGCCAAGACCGGCCATCTTCTTGGCTGGCACTGCATCGCTCCAATAAGTCTAGATCACCACGCTACCTTTGGCCCAATATGAACCATTGACACGATCCATCACTTGACTCTAGCAGCCTTCGTTCACAAGCGTGAAAATATGCTCAGTACAGAGAGAGTAGAGGGTGCTTGTAAATACCTCGCGCGGGCGATAAGGCGGGATGATCGAATGTTCGAGGCCAGATGAGATGCTCTAGAACCGCAGCCATCCAGTACCTACCTACAATACATGTCCATTGATACTCTATATCGTCCAGCCCAGACTCCCAGATCGCCATTGTTACGGTCGGCCGCCCAAGAAAGGGCGAGACCAGTAATGCGAGTTTCACCCACATCCCACCTCAATTACCCGTCTTCCTCGAACTCCAGTCCTTTGTCGCTCTGCAGTCTGCATTTTCCCCTTGATTGTGCACGATCAATCGGTCATCTACAGGCTCATTGTGAGAAAAGGGCGATCCGGGCCGGAGGGCAAGAATTGGAGCCCACGATGACACGAACTTCCCCATTTGTGGAAATCTCACCGCGATGAAGCTCGTATAAAAACCCGCGTCAGATCATTGTTGTTCGTGAAAATCTACGCGATTTGGAAGCTTTGTATTTATTTCGTATTTTTCGCGGTCCAGTTTATGACATATTGGCATAGTTGATCGATTTTTATTTTTTATTCCCTAAAATCCACTCGAAGACAAGCAGTTCACTTAGATTAATTTATCACGGAGCGTATCCGATTTCTATGGTTTTTTCCATGTCTCCCTCTCCTTTTGTGACCGCTTTTGAATAGGGCTTGGGAGCCTGCGAGTCTCTATCTCCGCACACGAACACGATGTATCGCTCCGCGATGCCGCTGGGACCTGTCGTTGGACTATTCTTCGGGCATTCCAACGCCTTATCGCTCCCCGAAGCTGTTGTTGTTCGTTCACTGATAGACGCTTCGGCCTTGGGCCACATCCACCAGCCCTTCAAGGGCATCGAACCATAGATCGTATTGAAGTTGAGATCAGGTCGACGCCGATCAGCCAAGTAGACAAGTCTTTTCTGCCAGTTGGTTGCTACCATCTTCAGGGCCATCTCCGGGGTGATACAGCTGAGATCAAACTGGGCCAGAGTAGCAGCCTCTTGTGCGAATACCGATATATGACCAATCCATTCCACCCTGTCGCCTGGTGGTTGGAGGTCATATACTCGAATGTGCTTAAAACGACGGCCCAATCCCCAAGCACGACCAGTGACATTGTCGTTCAGCTGGACATATCCTCTAGCCACATTGACGTCGCCAACACCCCAGGAAAATCCCTTGCGCATGAGCCTCGGAGTGTTGGGAGTCCATATTCTCAGGATGGCCCGCCATTGGGGTCCCTTTTGTCGTCTCAGCAGCCCCCCCATGAATGACTTTTCCGTCTCATCTGGTTGGAAATGGATCAGTATAGTCGGCATTTTTGACAAGTCAGTTTTATTCCAATCCCCTCCGCGAAATGTGATCCATGCTCTCTGGATTCTTGCGCATCGCTCATCCAGTGAGATATCGTCCGAGGGTATGTTTTCATCTGGGGATTTTAGCTGTGTGATGTGCGTGATGAAAGTCTTGAGCGTACCTGTGATGATTTCATGTGACAACACGAGCTTAGGTGCTTCACGAGCTTTAGCCATTGCAACTTTCGAAGAAGTTGATCCAGGAGAATATGCAAATGAGGTGAGTTTTTTTGACGAAGAACGCGTCTCGTAGGGAAGGGCCAAGCGTGGCTCTTTATAGCCCCAATCACGTAGGGACGCGCTGATAGTAAAGTTCGAGGTCATCTGGAAAGTTTAATCTCAAAGTTTCCGTTATTTGACAACAAACAAACCAAATTACACTTTCATCATATCAGCATGAATCTGAATACGTGGAAGACATGAGGCTTTTCGATCGTGCCGGCGTCGAAATCAAAACAGAAGGTGACTACGCCCGATAAAAGTACGCGTTAGTTCGCTATATTGGGATGTAGGTAATTATTTATCGCCGGAACAGTATACATCAAGAAGAACAAGTCGCTATTCCGGTACAAGAAGGTTCGCTAGGATCTTCATAAGTGACATCGCCACGAACGCTGATTAGAAACCACCTCAGGATACGAGGAGTTGACGAGATGTCTATTACATTCGACCATATGGGGCCCAAAGGCTATTTCGGGATCCCATCAAGTGGCTTTGAGGAAATCAGGGACTACAAATTCACCTCGACAGAATTATTGTGGCAGTCAATCACATAAATTACTTCCCATCATGTAACTAATAGTAGATACCCGTTATTAAACAATTACTTAATAGTTTATTATTATTGCAAATCATCGTCATGCCGATCTACAATTTTACGATGCAGCGGCCCCCCATTCGGCCCTACAGGCCCTGAGTGATGATCGGGTTGATCTGATCAAGACGCAGATCGACTTATGATCGACATGGAGTCGAGATACATGTATAAATGTACATGCCAAGTTGAGAACCACAATCGGCTCTCTCTCTTTGGTATTATATTAATCAGGCCATTTTCCATATATAACTTCTGACTGGTGTTCTGGCTTGCCTTCGAACATCCAAAGCACATGGATGATATCTACCTTGCAAACCAACCAACAGCTCGGCAAAGCCATCTCCAATGCACGAATCATAGCCTACATCAACGCGCTGCTTCTTTTTGAAATATACTAAATTAATTTGTTCTTCTTCGGTCTGCCCCGAGGCTTCTTCTTGCACTCCTTGATATGCTCAAAAAAACAGAACACATCAGACGTCTCGTAGCGCTTGCAGATGCAGACATCGACGGCATCCGGCCTGGCGGACGCGCACCTCTGGGCGCCACTGGAACTAATGTGCCGCTTGATCACATCCTTCCTAGTGGTGTGATAGCTGCACCTACACCTGTATGACTCCGGGTCGCGCGCGTGGACGCTCTGGAAGTGGCGATCGAGGTCTTTAGCGAGCTTGAACGATTTGTTGCAATCTGTGCACTGGTTCCTGGCTCTGCGTATAAATCCGTCAATGAGATATTCTAAGTTAGAGCAGGGCAGGTGGGATGTACCTAGACGATGCAATTGACGGCGTGCTTCCGTAGATGCTGGTGCGAGGTAGCGAGGAGGAGGCGAGAGAGGATGAATCCCAAATGGACGCTCTGATTGACGATTGTCCGGTCGTTGACTCGGGAACTGGGGGATTCCTCCGAGTGGGAGAAGACACGCGATCCAGGCCCGGGCGAAGCTCAGGCAGACCGCAGAGTGGTGGTGGTGGTGGCACTGGGTGGGCGACTGGGTCATGACCGGACCTTGCCAAGTCCGAATACTCCGACTTGGAGCTGATCGAGCTCCGTTGGTACTCTCTCATGGCCATCTCGTCTTGGAAGAAGGTGGGTAGATCGGGCGAGTCGCAATCCCCATTGTCCGATTTCTGCGAGACGGGCTCATCGGTGTTCAGGCCAGCTGGTCTGTGTGTTTCTCCTGCAGGCTTGTAAAGCCTTCCGGGAAAGGATTCTTCTTGATTCTTGACCCAATCATCCACACCATGTTCCGAGCCAGAAGATTCGTGGGCGTCGCGGTGCGTAGCTATGATGCTCCCAACACTGCCTTCTAAGTCTTCCACGCGTGGAAAAGCCGAATGTGTAGGTTGGGGATATTGGCAGAACAGGGTCTCCGAGAAGGTCAAGGTGTTTTCCGAGACGACATCGAGGGTCCCGGCGTTTGTGTTTGTGTAAAAGTGGTGGGGAAGTTCGGTCGCGCCCAGCTTGGTGTGCACGACCGAGGCCTCGATCTGAGAGGCCGTGCAGCCCAGGGACTGAGACTGAGGAGGCGTGCAATTGCCCTTTCCAACGAGTATTCCGTCCGCTTGGCCGGTTACACTGCGCTGCGACTTGGGTAAAAGGGGCCGGAGGTTCAAGCTCGACGGCTTCCGGTCTGGAGAGCGGGCCATCTTGCGATTGACGTGGGATACATTGAACACTGGGACATATTCTATCTCGACACCCGTCAATGGACCCCCGAGTCCCCAGAGAGAGATGGTGTGGGGGGGCAGATGCAACTCGGCTGGCGGGAGGCACAGAAGATGGATGTCCGTCCGAGAAATTTTCATACAAAGATGAAGATTGCTCGGGCGCGGACTTCAGAGTTGGGATTGCGGTGAGTCGCCCTTGGGCCCTCCGCCCAGCTGCCAATCAGTCCATGCCGGCCGTCGCGCTCGCTGTCTAGGAAGCACGTGTACAGCACTCGATCGATCGTCTTGGTGGTGAAGGGTTGTGGCCAATTATGCGGTTGGCCAATCCGTCCATCCACCACCACGACTGCCACCCGCCCGGTGATTGGGTTGCATTCGCAGCCCAAACCGCCATTGCCCAGTCCCACGCCGACAGTGCCTGGGGGAGCTTGGGCAGAGAGCGCTAGAGGCTGGAGCGGCTGCATCATTGGTGGCTATTGCTGCAGGCGATGTCTTGAATCTGCAACGTTGCGAGGGTTTGGTCCGGGAGATGTGATTCGCAGTCAGAGACGAGCCAAATCAGATGACACGAGAGTAGCCGTCACAGTCTCACTATTGATGCGAATTTAGTAGAATAAAAATACAATATGGCTCTATTTGTTCGTTTATCCATCTATGAATGTACATCCCTCATATGCTCATTAATTGCCCTACGGCGACGTGTACTTGTATCCGTACTTCTCCTTGGCAGCCAACACCTCCTTCTTCAACGCAGCATTCTTCTCTTCCGTCTGGGCATCGCTCTGCTTGTTCAAGACAGACGGTGGGGGGTTGGGGACAGAGAAACCGCGCTGGACGGCTGGGCGCGCAGAGCAGCGCTCGAACCAGGCGACGACGTTGGGGAACAGCGTTTTGTAGTCGATGGTGATGCCGCCAAGGCTGTTTGCCCAGCCCAGGAGTGCGATGTCGGCGATACTGAACTTGCCACGGCCCTCGCCGACAACATAGTCGCGGTCAGCCAGGCGGGTGTTGAGAATGCCGTAGAGGCGCTCCGTCTCGCCGACGTAGCGCTGCATGCCGTAGGGGACCTTTTCGCTCGCGAAGCGCACAAAGTGGCCAGCTTGACCTTGCCTGAACAGGGTTTAGAGGTTAGCTTCCGATTCTCGAGCAGAAGATGGTGGGGAGGGGCAGATTTGCCAGCACTTACATAGGTCCTACGCCGCCGTGCTGCCAGCCAATCCAGCTCTCGGCACGAGTATAATCATCGGAGTCGACGGGGAACGAGAAGAGGTTCTTGGTGTCGTAGCGACGGGTGAGGTAGCCAAGGATGGCATTGCCCTCAAAGACGCCGAGGTCGTTGTTGTCGTGGTCGACAATGGCGGGGATTCGGCCATTGGGGTTGACGGCAATGAACCAGGGCTCCTTCTGGATGTTCTGGCCAATGTTAATGGCCTGCCAGGTATAGTCGAGGCCGTATGCCTCCTTGAGCTCCTCGAGCAGGATCGAGGCCTTGTAGCCGTTGGGAGTGCCCCAGGTCAGGAGCTCGATGCCCTTCTTGGCGATGAGGCCGGTCGGTCGAGACATGTTCTGGCGGCGGTCGGGTGTCTGGTAGAAGGCGAATGGAGAGGAGCTATGGAATGCGCGGGCGTAGGCAAAGGCTTTGGATGGGTTGGTCGGTTTAAGTGCTGCGAGGCGTGGTGATGCCGATTGAGCTGGACGGGCGCATCGAAGGCCTCTTAAGAGGACACGGGAAGTGACAGAATCCATTGCGACTGCCGCAATTGGAAACCTGATTTATCATCAGAGTTTCAGCCCGCAATAGTGACAGCAGACAGACGCAACACCACCACCCCATCCAGGTCTAAATCCAAAATCCAGACATCCATTGCGACCGCGACGGGAAAAGCGCTGGCTGCGGGGCAGCTTAGTCATGACAAGCGGGAAGCCGGAATTTCCGTCGCAGATTATCAATCAACCAGCGAAGATGGCAGATGGATTCCCATGCCACCTAGTCGAGCGCTGCAGGATCGATAATCGATAGTTTCTTCCAGGAGAGGCAGAGACTCTGGATTTGGCTGCACCATTTGTCAGTCATCCGGCATGGATGTTCGGACAGCGATGGTGAGATGCATTATTAATCGTCCCTTCTGCCCCTCTTCTGCGTCATCTCCATCACCAACAGCTAAGGTTAGCAGTGGGGGTGCCTCTAATATGACAGCTCCAGCGATGTGCCACCCACAATTATTCTTATCGTCCACCTTATCGCCTGCCAACAGGAACAAAGCATCTCCGACCCTTCTTTCCATCAACCAAGCCTCCAAAGCATGCGACCCCCATCCCCTTCAACCGTCAAGTTTAAGCCGAAATCATTATTAGCAGCTCTCCTATTGCATTTGATTCCAAGACAGACGGCCTACCTTCCAATCCGACCCTGGCGCTCCCATCCGTTCCACCACTCACGAGACCTAATCCGGCTCGCGTCTCCTCCAATACGAAGCCATCGCGACTCGACCCGCAACGACCACCAACCGAAGGGATGCTGCCGAAGGAATCTGCAGCTATTCGTAGCGTGCCCAATTGAATCGCCCTCATACTCAGGACTGTTCATATTGGCGCAGGCAAAGCTGATTCGAAACAATAGACCATCAACTTGCCACCCGGCGGGCCGCGATCGATCCCACGAACAACACGATGCGGGACGATGCGATCCGAACGTCATGCTTCAACCATGGCCTTGTCCCGAGCTGCCGGTACAGCCCCCCGCATGCTGCCCGGCTCAGCTCATAAATAGCCTTGCAAGCTTGGAAGGCGCAGTGCTCGATCGGCCAATGTTGCATCAGCAATCGGTGTCGCAGATTTATTAGGCGAACGTAGTGCGTCTAGACGTGGCGGCAGAAGAGTTGCAGATACGACAAATGATGTTCAAAAGACGCGACATCAGTGGACAGAAGAGTACCAAGACTGGGACACCGAACGACGCGATCGCTGAGATTTTCGTAGGCCGACCATCCCCAGACGCGTTGGTCTCCGAAGGATGCAGATGCCTAGAGAGCGTGAGTCCTTGATGGCCCAACGTCCAACGCCCAACGCCCAAAACCAAGTCGGTTGAAGATGGGAATGCACAATGTCTGTCATTGAAATGCTCCTGGTGTCTGTTTAATGGTAATGGCCCCTCAAGGCCTGACACGTAGCGGGCGAAGCCTGGATCGTAGCCACATCAACATTTCGCATCCTTGGTGGGATGCTTGAAACACCAAAAGCCCCAAGTGTGCCAGCTTTCATCCCATCTAGCCATGCCAAATCGTAGTAATTCCCAGCCAGTTCAGACGAGCCTCAAACGGTGTCATGGTCAGCCCTGGCCCCCAGCTACAGCTTCACGTGGTGGAGGATTCCCACATCAGCGCGGCTTACAGCGATGATCTGACTGGGAATTTCCCACGCGTCGGTATTCTTAGTGTCCGTCGGACCCGTCACAATGATGCGGCGTACAAATACAGAAATCCGATAGTCATCTCTTTATCCCACGTTGATGCTCTCCCCGCTCTCCCGCTGCAATTGGCACGCGACAGCACACATGGCTTTATGCCGAGCAATCAGAGTGATCAGCCCCCAAAGGAATGAATGGAGAGGGCAAAACCCACCGAGATGGAGACAGCGCGCGAGACGCTACCACGATTGCCTTAATATACACACTCCCTTTCTCTGAAGTACAAGGTTCAACCACCGACTGCGAAACATTCTTGATCCTATATCGCGAAACACGAGTTCGAGCTTGAAGCCGACCCTGCGCAGGGATCATGGACAAAGTCTGTCTCTTCCGATGGAGGACCTACCCTATAGATATAAATTCAATATATGAATGTTCGATTTAACCAATGTCCATGTGCTCTGTGTGATTTCTAATTGGTATGGTAAATAAAATATTTGATAGATATTCGTGTTTTTATTTTAGTGTGTCCCATTCTTTTTTTTTACCGTTATGTCCATTGAGTTCTTACCGCAGTGAATTTTACACTCATCATCAACATTGAAGCCATCTCCAGAACAACACACAACCACGTGGATCAGGGATCCCTTGGCTAACGCACAGTCCACAACAAGGATTCTGGGGTAAGGTACGGGACTTGTTTCCATATTCGGGGGATTATTGGTGCAAAAGACGGCAAGGACTGGAGACTTGATCGCGGTTCGCACCACAGAAGGTGGACACACCAGCAGCTAACCGGAAAATCCAAATCGAAACGACCTTGGTTGGCCGCCTGACACACTCTGCTCGATTGAGAGCCCAGGGGTATTATTTTTAAATGCCCACCGTCCTGGGCAACCTGAGTAGCCCGCAGTACGCCAGTACGCGGTACGCTCGGCGTGTCCCAAGTCCACTCAGCCTGCGCACCCTGCAGCACAGGAGAGGTTATTAATCGGGGCCAGGTCAGAGCGTTGGGTCATCATCACCGTTCGTGGAAGGGAGCCGTGGAGATGCTTCACGTTGGCGGTGATGATTGACGCTGACAGACTCGATGGGACGAACCGTCTCGCAAGAAGCCGAGGATCAGCGATTTAGCAGCGGCAAGTTCTCACCAAAGGCCTCTTCAATTCGATCTGTCGACAATTCGATCTGCCGAATCATAAAGACCTTGAGACCTCGTGCTCTACGATAAATTAATATTTCTACATGTCTTCAAGCTCTCGCGATGGTATCAGAACGCTGTCCGGCAAACCAGTCAGCGGTGCGGCACCTTGGCGAGGCAAAAATAGCTTCAGCTGAAGAAATTACGGGAAACCGGCCAAATTGCCATGTGCCAAGATCGGACCCAGTCGTAAGGCTCACGCCAAGATCGAAAAGGGTTGCAGACAGTGACCGGAAAAAGCGAAATGGCGGATCAGGACTGCCGTTGCTGGACGACTGTGGCCGAGTAAGTGCCCCAAGAAGCAACAAACGTAAGTGAAACCCCGATATAACCTGCATCAGACGGCAGACTGTGCTCCAGCAAGGCCGAGGCCAGCAATTCCGGCCATCATCTGGTCCGGAAGGGTTGCATGGGCCGGATCCCTGCGGTCTGGACAGGGATGGTCCAAATTTAGCCCAGAAAATGTATTCTCGTCTGCTTACTGACGTAATATCTGCCATGGCAGAGTGAGATTCGACTGTGGCCGCGTCTTACTTTCCGTCCAGCGATGGCGATGGACGGCACGAGCTGGGAACCGTTTGCTCAGGGTCTTGAGGCCCGTGGAGATTATAAGACTCGACGGGCCCGGATCCAGCAATGATGTGTTTATCCCTACTTGTGAATCCAGCCAGGCCATCACGTTGAGTCAACCGCCAATCACTCACTCACTCACACAGGCAAAAGTAAGTCGAGATGGATCGCAACACCAACACATACCGTCCCTCAGGGCCGCCCGCGGGCTACCGCCCAACCGGCGATGCGCGCAACCCGAGCACGTATCGACCTACTGCTCCTCCTGCCCCTCCAGTCAACGCGAACCGCCAGACCGCAGGTTCATACCGACCGACCGTGGCCCCGAACCGCAACACGGCGCAGTCGTACCGTCCCACCGGCAACCCTCACCCGGCTCACCAGTCCCAGGGATGGCGCCAGACGCAGACCTCCAACAACACACAGAACAACGCCAGTCGCGAGACGGCGTACACGTTCGACTACCGCCACACGCAAGACATTGCCGATGTCAACCGCCAGACCGCCTACACATACCGGTCTGACAACCGCGATGCTTCGCGCAACACAGCATGGACCTTCCGCACGCAGAACACGGATCCCAACCGCCTGACCACCAACACCTACCGCAAGGGCGGCAAGAAGCGAGGCCGATCCTCTCGCTTCTCCATGCTCTCCATGGATTTGATGATGGGTATCACGCCCGCCGTGCCTGAGCCTCCCTCGGTCCGCGTGCCCACCTACTACCAGGAGTTCAACAGGAAGAGCCGCTTCAGCAAGTACCTGTCCGTCAACGGCCCCGTATGGCGGCCGTCCGGCGGCGCCGACTCGCAGGGCCACATGCCCCTGGGTGACATTGACGAGGAGGCCGAGGGCTACTATGAGGACGACGAGGAGTACGAGGCCTACAGCATCTACACGCCGCTCCAGAAGACGTTCCTCGTCGTCGGCAACGCCTTCATCGCCTTCGTCGGTGCCCTCACCGTGCAAATGTACCTGCCCGCCCTCAACGTCCTCGCCGAGGAGCTCGATGTCTCGTCCGCCATGATCAACCTCACTGTCACCGCCTTCCTCGCCTTCCAGGGTATCAGCCCTCTCATCTTCAGTGGTTTCACCGACATCTACGGTCGCCGCCCCGGCTACATCATCTGCTTCATGATCTACGTCGCTTCTAGCGTCGTGCTGGCCCTCAGCGACAAGTACAGCATCACGCTGGCCATGCGCTCCATCCAGTCCATTGGAACCTCGACCATCATGATCCTGTCCCAGGCCGCCGTGGCCGACATCGTCACGAGCGCCGAGCGTCCCCAGTACATTGGCATCACCTCCATCCCCACCATCCTGGGTCCCAGTCTCGGCCCCGTCATCGGCGGCGCCCTCGTCCAGACCCTCAAGTGGCGCAGCATCTTCTGGTTCCTGGCCATCTACGCCGGCTTCACCTTCTTCGCCGTCGTCGTCTTCATGCCCGAGACGTGCCGCAAGATTGTCGGCGACGGCTCCATCCGCCCCCACAAGGCCTACTACACCGTCGTCCAGGGCGTCCAGTGGAGGGAGGGCAAGGAGAAGCCCATTGAGAACGTCGCTAGCCTCGAACCCATTGGCAACAAGGAGGGCGAGAGCGGCGCCATGTTCGCCCTGCGCACCCTCTTCTCCTCCATCGCCCTGTTCGGCTACATCCAGCTCGTCCTCCTCATCACCGCCGCCGGTCTCGCTTTCGGTGCCGTCTACGCCCTGTCCACCGCCGCCCCTAGCATCTTCCAGGACGAGTATGGCCTCACTGCGCTCCAGGTCGGTCTCATGTACCTTCCCATGGCCGTTGGCTCCATCATCGCCGTCGTCATCGTCGGTCCCGGCATGAACTACAACTACCACCGCCACGCCGCCCTGGCCGGAGTCAGCGTCGACGAGGGCGAGAAGATGGACCTCGACAACTTCCCCATCGAGAAGGCCCGCTTGGAAATCGCCATCCCCCTGCTTGTCCTCGGTGTTGGTGTCATTGCCGGCTTCGGTTGGGCTCTCCAGTACCACGCCCACCTCGGAGTCATCGCCATGCTCATCTTCCTCTTCGGCATCAGCATCGTCGGCATCAACAACGCCATCCAGGTCCTGATTGTCGACATCTTCTTCGACCAGGCCGGCGCTGCCCTCGCCACCAACAATTTCATGAAGTGCGCCATCGGTGCCGCCTCCTCCGCCGTCGTCGCCCCGATGATCGACAAGATCGGCTTCGGCTGGTCTTTCACCGTCTTTGGCGGCATCTACGGCCTGCTCATTCCTCTTCTCATGATCGTCATGTGGAAGGGTGCGGACTGGCGACCGCGCCCCAATCCCAATTAAAATTATAATTCTTTTCACGGCCGACCTTTTCTTCATTCTTCTCTTCTTACTTTTTACTTTTTTACTTTGATGTATATACTTTTACGATATTACCCTTTTTTCCTATGTTGCATAGATGTTTAGCGATATGAATTTTATCTTTTCATGACTTTCTCACTACTACTACTTCTCCTACATTGCCTGATACGTTGCTCACTATGTGCATGGTGCCACTTGAAATGAACATTGAATGATGACCCTTCTCGCGACGGAACAAGGCCTTGGCTGCAGTCCTGTGCTTGGCTTCTCTAATTACCTTACCCCACCTGGGAGTAATATTTCCGGTCACCCAACCCCCCGATTCTTGGTGGAAACGCACAGACAGTGGGATAAAAATAGCACCTCTCACCTGAGCAGTCTAATGCTTCACTATAGGTTAGCCATTTTGTGTTTTGACAGACTGGACTGCTTTTCCCGGAGCTGCGCCGCCAACGCGACCCTTGTTAATTCATAAGTTTATTAATATCTGCTTGGATCTTGCCGATGCCGAGTGCCGAACTCGGGAATGCCATCGCGGCTCTTCTTCAACCATGAGCGTCTCGACAGCTTCCCTTCGAGCCCGGATGTGCGAGCCTGTCTGGCCGTATTCTACCAAGGATGGCCACATCGCCCTCCGCAACGGCCTCGCTGGTCCATCGAAATGCTATTTGAGGAGGCTGCTCGTTTTACTGCCTTTTTTGAATAGCGCCCGCTTCTCCGATCCCTGTCTCTTAAGATTCAAAGTGTCCTGTTAATGTCCTGTGCTCACCCCACGCCCACGGATCCTTGATCTACATAGTATCAGTTCAGTGACTCGCGTAGCTGGTTATTCATAGTTCTGGAGATATCTCCCTGATTGTATTTTAAAGTATACCACAGTAAGAACTTAATAGCCCACACATGATAACCATGGTTGGGAATCACCGTGCTTGACTTGGCCCCTGGCAAATGATATACTACGCTTCGGCACTTGAAGCCCCCTTTAGCCCTGTGCAGACGTATAACCATGTTGGTGGTACTAAGAGTCACGAAGCCAGTAGTTAAAGGCCGCGCAGAAGCAAACGGGCTGGATGTGGCTCTGTGTTCGGTTGACTGCGTAATAGCAATATTCTTTTCAAGAAGGGCGGCCAATACTGGCCTTTTGAAAGTTTAGGTCGCATTTATGGACAAAAGGCCTGTTCTAGGATATCTAGTTGTGTGCAGGGACCGGAGACTTCATCGCATCCCTATAATCCTATCCACTGGATGACCGAGTGCTCCTTCGGGCTATGTATGCCATCAACCGAGCAATGCCACTGTTTTGGCTGCTTCTATACGCGGCACCTGCGTTACCAATTCCTGGATGACTTGTCTGTCGCTTCGCCTTTTCCGGACGGCTACCGGGTCCTATCTGCTTAAAGCACCACATTCAGTAGTAAGTCCCTAACTGGGGTATAGTCAACGTGATCAGCTTGGAGAATCTTCTGATTTAATATACTTCGAGCCCCACTGCGGTTTAGTAGTCAAGGTAGATCCTCGTAGCGAGAGGTAGTCGATCTCTAACCGTATTACACGTCTGAAATACACCGTCTGCCTCTATGCTACCGCACACCCTACCAAGCCAGAATGTAGGATAACGTTCCTAAGATTCTCTCAAGAAGGCTTGTTGCGATCAACAGCAATACGGGACCACAATATACACGCGGCTTCAATCTTTCTGTTTCGCTAACGGGTCAAGAACGATGTCGGTGCTTCTGGTTGGCCCTTCTATGGTCGGCCTGCGTTACTGTCTACATTAGGGGAACATTTATGAGTAAGGTTGCTGGTATTGGTGTTGATTCTATACTTTGTAATACATACCGCCAAACAGAGTGTGCAATATAAGGTACTGGGGAGTAACCGATTTTAAAGGCAAACTTGTGGCAGGTATTTCATCTGTTATAGTCGCCCCCAAGGCACTGGTGAACACCATCGCCTTCTCCCCGTAATTATAGTTCCCTTTTATAATTGCTTACCTCATTATATCTAAGAGTTTCTTCTTGGCCGAGACGCCGAGACCTACCCCATGCTGATGGCTGGACTGTCGGCATTCGCCAATGCCGATCTTGAGTCTCGCTAGACCCGGTACTCGCATCGTTCCTACCATGACCCTGTCCTGTCTGCCTGGTAGCATGGTTCACTCGCGTGAAACTCAGAGTATGTACCTCATCCGTTCCCAACCAATACCTCATAGTGACTGTTTCTAGGCCAACCTAGAAAGCTGTGGCATTCAGGAACAGAGGTACGTTCATGGCAAATGGTCCGACGCCTCGGTTCCAAGTGAAGTCCGAAACATGGTATAATGCCCTTGCACGGCATTGAATGTCTATCCTGCGCGGAAAGGGACTTGATCAGCACAATGGACGGCGATGTTGCGGGGAACGATGAGCAGGGTGGAAATGTGGGAAAATGTAGCCCGAGATAGGATGCGACCAGACCAATGGTAGGCCACTGGTTACGCCCGTAATTAAGTAAGCTGCTTAAGGTTGCTGGGGTTCTTGTCAGCTCATCATGGTCTTGCACAGAGATGGAAAGGCAGATATCCTCGCTTGGCCTCACCCTTGGCGTTAAGGAGTATAAACGTGATTTGATTAGCTACCTTGTTTAAGAGCTCAGGATATTAATGTCGATCAGGGATGGCCTATGAAAGTGAGATTGGCGGTGGTAACTCCGGTTATAGCAAGGTAAGTAAAAAAAGAAACCGTTCTAGAAGAAATAAGGTATAAATACTACTACTCCTACTCGTTTACTCCATCTAACATTCCTCTCAGCACAGAACTTAGGATCATTTCCCATTATTCTTCCTCTCTTCATTCAATTGACTTATCTCTTTCTTACTTCGATTCGCTACGATCAGCGCGTTGACTATTCTATCTCGCCTTCTCGGATCACTCCATATTCCGGTCAATATGCGTTTCTCTGCTGTTATCCTCACCGCCGGCGCTATGAGTGCTATTTCTGGTGTATCGGCTCAATCCAGCAATGGTGTTGGTGAGCTTCGAGCACGTTCCGCTAAGGATCTCCTTCACCTTGCTATCAGGAGTCTCGATGATGAGCAAGCCGATGCTGTCTTTGCACGATACCTTGAGCTCAACGAGCGTAATGAAGAATCTTCCTCTATCTTCAAACGGGATATTAAATGTCCTTACTGCTCGATTAAGGTCCCTAAAGAGTACGCCCCAATGTTGGCAGCCCAGTATGTAGATATCCAGCTCACCCCCTTCTGAATCTTTAAACATGGCTAATATATATATAGTATAAAACAACATACAAAATAAGAAAATATAATACCTTTTAGGTCTTATTATAATATATTGATCTTAGTATCTAATTATTTATAGATAAAAAGAGCTTAGAGGAAAGAAATAATTATTATCATATTAGCTGTATTATACTTATACTTAGATATTTAGTTTTTTCTCCTATACTTATAAAAAGGTTTTAATAAACATCTCATAGAAGTTTCAAAAGTTATCTTACTATAATATATCTTAGCATCTGATACAAATGTTATTGTTATGATTCAAAGAATCTATAGTTATAGCCTAGTCTTGTTCTAAGGCCAGTATGCGAATGTCCAAGTGCTTAGCCAAGGCCTTGCCACATGGTCGGACAAAGCAACTGAGGATATTGAGAGCCATCCGCTTTATCCATGTGTGTTCAGGAGGACTCCGCTAAATTCCAGAGTTATATCGCTGATTTATTTTCTCTCCATCTCCGGAGGGGAAGGAAATACAAAGCTGAGAATGCTCGGGGTTTTCATTTTTCCGAGGTTCCTGTCGCTTATTCTCTCATGATGCGGCTGATTAGCTGATGCCTAATTCTATGTCGGGCACACATGTAACCCATGATACTCGATCCGATCGACCGCGGAAAAGACCTGTTATCATCAGGATTAGTAGCCTTGTTTTTCAGCCGTTCAAGATGGATTCGAAGTCTCAAGCCCAAAAGTATATTGAAGAGTTCGCTCGCGAAAGACAAGCGGAAAAGAAGACCCGCAACGTACAAGATCTGGAGAGATCCGTTCAAAAGTATGAACTGCTGCACTCGGTCATATCTTGCAGACCACTTCAAGAGTAGTTCATTGACTATATCCGCTCGCTGCGCTCTAGGTTCGCAAACGAGTTGTACCGGAGCGAAACACACTTCCTGCTCGAGCTGTTACAGAATGCAGATGACAACCGATATACCAAGACATCACGGCCAAGCTTCTCCATAGAATACCGTGAGCGTGGTTTACGCATTGATTGTAACGAGGATGGCTTCACGGAGGAAAATGTCGAGGCCATCTGCAGCGTCGGTAACAGCACGAAAACCACCTCTTCTCCTGGCCATAAGTACATCGGCGAGAAAGGCATCGGCTTCAAATCCGTATTCAGGGTCGCGACTAAAGTCTGGATATATTCTGGCGGCTACAAATTTGCTCTTGACCGCACCAAGCCTCTGGGTATCATCACTCCTACCTGGGAAGACTTTCCGGAGACTCCGCCTGAGGGTGGCACTGCCATGTATTTCCAGCTCTCAAATGATTGCGACGAGAAATTATTCTGGGACCAGATTCAGGTCTTGGATGCCAATGCTTTGATCTTTCTTTCTAGGTTGAGGCAACTGAAATTGGTTATACCAAAAGCAGGTCGACTTCACGAAAGAAGACTTTGTAGGGAGGACAACCGGATACATTCTCAAGCCATAGAATCCAAGATATTCGAAAACGACCAGCAGATTCTACACTACCTGATATGTCAATATACGGCTCAGGATATGCCAAAAGAAGAAAAGCGGCCCGACTGTCGCACTTCAGATATCATGCTGGCATTCCCCAAACTGGATGATTCCAACCCTCGAACACGGTCGCAAATGATGTATGCTTTTCTTCCAATTAGGGATTGCGGCTTCAAGGTGCGATGTTGCAATGATAATCTAAACTCCCTCATGCTTATTAAACTAACTAACACATACTATCCAGTTTCTTATCCAAGCTGATTTCCTGCTTGCAGCTAGTCGCGAAGATATTGACGAGTCCAGTCCATGGAATCAAAAGATCCTCGCCTGTTTACCGGACGCATTGGGGAGTGCCATTGAATACCTGAACAATACCGAATTGCGTTTCACTTGGCCTCGGTATCTCCCTAGACAGGATGAAGTTCAAAAGGATTACCGTACCGTGAGCCGTTCTATAGTTTCTGGGCTCTCGAAACGGGATGTTCTCGAGTCGGAGAGTGGCCAATTAAGGGCACCTTTGACGCTGACGTATATTCCGAAAGAGTATACGCTAGAAAATGGAGAGCCATTGAGCCTTAGCAATGTTTCGAGCAACCGATATCTGTCTAGAAAGTATGGCCACGGCGACAAACAAAACTTTCAACTTATAGGGGTTAAAGCTCTAACATTCCATGACTTCGTACGGGATCTTCACGAGTCTATTCGCGAACAGGCAGCCAAGGACCGACCACCAGAATGGCACTCCCATCTAGCAATGGTTCTTGTGAAGAATCTAATAGCCCGTGACGTCCGTCATTCAGCGGTGTCGAAAATCCCAATCATCCCCCTCCGTAATGGCACATGGGTGACGGCAGATGAGAGCTGGGACAGGCTTTTCTTTCCTGCAGAGGAAGCTTCGACATCAGTCCCGGAGGATACAGGACTCATGGAGGTCCACCCGAGCACTGTGGAAGACCCCTTTCGCTTCCAGCTATTCCAGCTGTTTGGAGCGAAGCCCTACAGCGCTGTGCAAATTTGTCAAGCTATTGCCAAGATGCACAAGTCTTCTGCACCACCTGTCGTCACCGCCAAGACCTTGATTTCGCAGACCATCTTCCTATTTCTCCAGTCTTGGATCTGCCCTAAAGACATTGATCTCTGGGTTGCAACGGATCAGGAGAAATTCCACAGAGCTTCAGAAGTGTACATGCGGCCCTTGGAGATAGGGAAAAAAACGTTTCCTGCTTTACATCCAGATTACCTAGCGGCCATGGCCGAGAGACAAGATGAATGGATAAAATGGCTTCTCCAGGAGCTCCATATATCTACGATTCCTCGCTTTGTTGTTTCAGTTGGAAAGCATCATTTTGAACTCTCCCCCGAGATGGAATTGATAAGGAACCACTGGTCGTCTGCAGACTTCCTCACCTTGCTGCGGGACAATTGGGACATTTACTCCGGGTGGTTGGAAGCAAACAACCATTGTTCATGGCCTCAGGCTTGGGAGTCTTCACGAATCAAGTTGCAGAAACAAATCGCAAGTTTTGAGGTTCAATGTAAAGGAACGCAAAGCTTATATCCTTTGGACCAAACTGTCCTTCCAACCGTGCTTCAAGATGAAGCAGAGAACGTGACAACATACTTCCGAGTCATAGACATCCCGGATCCGGGAGAACCATCATGGGCATTTCTGGAGAAGTTTGGTGTCATAGCTCAGCCGAACGCTACATTGTTCCTTCAGGGATTGGAAACTGCCAAAAAGATGGCATGTGCAGCTGAGTGGGTTTGGTTCTACGAGAAAATTCAGATATATGCCTCCCAGGAGAAGGCAACAGTAAAGTATTCCCGACTGCACTAAGTACCTATGGCTATTGAACATGGGAAACTGATCAATTCTGTAGGAAAGCCTTCTCCGGAAATCCGTTGATTTTCATTCCGGAAAGCCCGTTGAGAGCAGCACAGTGGTTGAGACCTGACAACTGCATCTGGTCCAGCTCATCATTTTTCAAACGAACCGCCACCTTGGCTGGGAATTATCCATCCTGCCGGGGGCTCTTTCAGGACATCTTGGGTGTTCAAGATGCAGACCTCCAGACCACGTTGACTGAACTTTTCTCGACTAGCAAGTCAGATGGCTTGGATTATTTTGTGAAATTGTTTGCATACTTGAATAGGCATAGCAGTGCCAGTATCCGAGCGTTGGTCACCAAGAACGCCGACAAGTTCAAGACAAAACTGGTGTTTCCTATCGATACAAAGGGGGAGAGGCCGGCAGTGCATCACCTGGGCTCAATCTCTGCCGAAAGCATATGGTATATTGCGGACCGCCCTCACCTGCGCGAAAAGTTTCGTGGAAGAATCCCATTGCTTGCTTTTGATAATGACCAGCTTGAGAAAATGAAGTGGATTTATCTATTGCCGTCCATGACCAAGCGATCGCTCTCCAACTTGGTCGTATGTAAGCCTTTGCCAGGGTTGAAGAGTACTCTCCACGAACGCCTGACAAACCTACTCAGAGATAGAGCCAAACATATAATTCTGTGAGTTTTGGCGTTTAATTTGTTTTGTTATGGACTCAGCGAATCTAATATGGGCATAGACTTGTACCAGGCGCAGCCGTCAGACAAAAAGCTGTCTACGAATTAGAATCCGTTACCGTATACAGCGCAGAGAAGGTTTCGGTTCAATGGGAACTGATCGGTCCATCAGGATTGGTGGCTACTAGCCTGCCAGATGTCAGCAACGCGGCTTCTGCTTTGGTCGAGGGCCAACTCCGAATCTATCTGTCTCGCATGGTAATAAATGCAGACAGCGTGTCTCTAGAGTTATCGCGGACTTTAGCCACTCGATATGAAATACACCAAAAACACTCGCTGACACTATGCGGTACGCTATCCTGGACAGACGCAGAGGTTGAGGATCAACTAAAGCGTGATGGGATTTCTCATGACCAAGACGTCACGAGCTTTGGTGAGGAATCATTCCGTGACTGTTCAGACTGAACGTGTTAATTCTGATTATTCTAGATGTGTTTGAGGAGCCAACTGTGTTATCAGACGAATTCTCTGGCTGGCCTCCGAAACCGGAAACCTGGTTCACATGGGTTTTCAAGTCGACGAGTGCTGGCATCACTCAGCTACGCAGCTTGCTTTATGCCGCTCGTTTGTTATTTTTCACTCGAGATACAGCTGTCTTCGCTGTGCTAGGAATTGGCATTTTCACAATCATATGGAAACTGGATCCTGCATTAGGTTTCCTGCGCTCTCAGTTGGATGGTTGGTTACTGAAAAAGAAAGCGGATAAGCATCCAGTTCTTGGTACAACGGACGGACATACTGTACCACAGACCCTACCGCCAAAATCATCGCGGTATTGGTATCCTACTTGGGCACATACAGGGCCACAGGAAACCTCACCATCCAACGGCCCATATAGAACGCCGCCTCCTCCAGACTATGGGCCAATCCGAACTTCAGTGCCCTCCAGCAAACCGACTGCAAAAAGCTCTACCCACGGTAAGGTCCTGGGAAATGCTTTCCTCGCCCAATACCTGTCTGTGGAAATGCTGCCTGACAAGAAGGTATTCTTGATACTTTTATTGGCCGTAGTCCTGCTTCTTCTGGCGTGGTTTAGCGAACCTAGCACAAGTGACCAACTTCCCCCCATGGACAAAAACCCAAATGTCATTGACCCTGCATTTCATCAGTCTGATGAGGAATCCGAAGCTGAAGAATGGCAAGAAGGAACGATTGAAATAGCCGAGAAGGAAGGTGGTTGGGAAAGTGATTCTGCAGAAGATAATCTTCCCAATGGGGAAACGCGTCCTGAGAAGGACACGCCGAAGCTCGAGAGCAAAGAGGGTATTCAGGCAACCTTACTATCGCTTGATTCTGGTCGCAACTTCTCATCACCTGAACTTGACCTCCAGTCACAGATCACAAATCAAAATTCTTCCGCTTCGATAACACAGGAAACAAGAAGACTCGAATCAGATAAAGGTTCCGTGATTAGAACTTACACTAAAATCATCGTTGCTCCGTCTCCATCGAGGAAGTGGAGTTCCGTGGAGATTTCAGGGCACCCGCCAGCATCTCCGAATCCAGAGGGAGTTAGTGAAGCAGGGAACAAAGCATTAACATCAGAAACCATCGGAGTCGACTACGCTGCAACGGATACTCTCATGTCCACCCCGATGGAGGCGGATCTGCAGCCGAGCCAAACGTCTGAGGAACAGCAATTGACAACAGGGGATAACAGAACCGGAAGCATTTCAAGTGCTTCTTCTACTAAGAGTATCCTCGACGAGAGTATGCTGAGAAAAACAAGTTCTGTTGAAGCAGGAGAGACAGAGGCAAATAACATATTAGCAACTGGTGAGAGTCCAAACAAGGAACATACCCAGACAAGAAACGAGCATCATGAGCCCACACCGGGTGGCGTAACGATTTCAGGCCCATTACAGGACCAAAATAAAGACAACATTGAACTGGCGATTCGTCAGCCAGTTAGTAGCCCGTCGATGATAGAGGATCAACAATCAGGAATGGAAACTCCCGTTTTACTTGAAGATGTCCCCTTGAAACGACTTGATGAAGAAAGTACCTCGGCGGAATTCTTTACACCTGATGGCCAAATAGGAAGATCTGAAGCACTAGAGTATTCTCCGATATCGTCATGGAACACGGCGTCGGGATTGCCAAGCATCCCAATGGGCCTACACAGCTTTGGAGGCGGTGGTATTTTAGCACCCGGTGATCGAGCAATGACGTCTGAGTTTGTGGACCATTTCATCTCTCAACAAGATGACAGCGAGTTTGTGAACACAAGTACAGGCGTCATGTATAATCCGTCGCCAACGACTATGTTTGTGGGAGAAGACACCGATGAAGCTCGGTTTCTAGGAGAACTTTATGTATCCAAAGCCCCGAATCCTAATAGTGGGATGTATGTTTTTGTTTCTGACAATTCTCTTGCAGGTATCACAACACCTGAGATTGCTTTTGGGACCAGACATCTACCAACCAGAAGTGAATTGGACCAGCAGCGCGCGATCTCGCAATGGACACAAGCCATTTGTTGACAAGGAACTAGATCATTCGACATTCACCCTAACAGAGAAGCTTGGGATGGGCAAAGCGAGGAATCCAGTATCTCGGGCGTTTAAGCTGTCCGATTTAGGACTTGAGACATGTAGATTTCATATCCAAGTTTGCGTTACTGCTGGCGGACTCCAATCGCCCTTTCGATTGTCTAATGCGCAATGCACCAAGGTAAGCTACCACACCCAGTAGGAGTAAGAAGATATACTAATTCGGAAACCAATGGGAAAGTGTAGGGACATGACGCTGAGGGGTCAAGAGAGGCCGACCAATGTGTACATTCTTGCGCGCGTGTACCACATACATACCAACCCGCAAATCGCCTTTTACACGGATCCATGGCAGCTCTATCAAAAAGGCCTCATTGCCCTCGAGTCTTCCAGCGCATTCCGTGGAACTGTCTCGAAAGCAGCACCGGCAGTCATTGTTGAAACCCCTAAAGGCGCTGCCACAGCTTCGGAAATGCAGAGGATATATAGCAAGAGGCTCAACCCGGATGAGATCCGTCTTCTCAAACTTGAAAATAGTACGGACCCAAGTTCACCACTTGTAGTGAGTCTCATTGTGAAACCGACCAAGAAAACTGATGAGTCACTGCGGTACTGGGCAATCTCATACGTCTGGGGGTCTGCGCCGACACCCCTTTCACCATTCCAGTTGGTGATTGATGGAGTGAAGATACCCGTCACTGAGAGTTTATGGACCTGTCTTTGCCGCCTTCGGAGTGAGGATATTACTGATTATATCTGGGCTGATGCGATATGCATAAATCAGACCGACAACTTGGAGAAAGCCATGCAGGTTCGCCAGATGGGAAGAATTTACAGCAAAGCGGATCGTGTGATTATTTGGATGGGTGGTAACCAAGACAGGGACTGCAACGCCATAAACATCCTCAAGAAATTGAGAGACACTAGAGAATCACAAAAGCCGAGGCAAAGCGAGCAACTCTCGTTGACTGAGAAGGATAAGGAACAGGTTTGGGCTTTTCTCCAGCGCCCCTGGTTCACTCGAACCTGGACTATTCAGGAACTCGTCCTCGGCAACCGCGTCTCAATTCTCTACCGAGACGCCGAAATGGAATGGGACGACTTCATGGGCTCTGTTTTGTTCTTTGAGGAAAAGATACTTCTGACTAAAGACGGCAATAGGGAGCTTTATGCTACACCCTCGGATCCAGCTCGCGCCCTTGATCATATTAGGCAGACATGGCAAGGGCGTTCATTAGAAGCAGGGGGGAGCCGCTTGAAGCTCCCTATTCTTCGACTTGTCGAGATGTTCTTCTACGCCCAAGCATCAATGCCGCGCGACAAGCTCTTTGCGATGCACAGCATGGCCTCTGACACAAGCTATGAGATTGACGGCTTCAGTCGACCCGATTATGAGTCCGATGATTCCACGATCCTAGCAAGATATGGCACAGAATTTGTTGAGAGAAACAAGGTTCTGGAGCTTCTCTCCCGGGCTGGGAGAGATAAAGGGAGCACGTTTTCATCCTGGATCCCAGACATGATGAATCATGCCCGGCGTCCACAATACGGCCCGACGATTTCCACCTGGAAAGCGGTTGGGACAGTCAACAACTTCAGATTCAGCGCAGGGGCGTCTCAATCTCCAAATCCAACCGTCCCACACCTAGGAAGCTATCCTTTCCTAGCTATCACTGGCAAGATGTTCGATAGTATTCAAAGCGAACGATCACTCAAGATTGGCGATGATGTTACCGCCATAAGCTTTGTCCAGATCCTGGAAGAGCTCCGCCAGCTCCTATCAGATCTGTCGTCGTATCCAAATTTGAGTCAAAACAAGCGCTGGCGTGACCATGTACTCATCCAGACTCTAATTGGAGACGCAATTGGCCCACAATGGGGAACAAGTCGCTCAGTTTTAATTGACGACAGTCTAGAAGATGAGGAGGTATTGGAACGTTGGCCATTAGGCTTTGAACAAGAGATTTTGTCAATACGGTCGGGTCGTGACAGCCATCAATACCGCTCCAAACCAGCCGAGGTGCAGCAAAAAGTCAATGACTATTGGCGTACTGCTGCCGCTTTTCTCGGAAAAATTCCCAATCCAGCATTGTGCGTGACAACAAAGGGTTATGTCGGGGTTGTCCCTGGAGGAACCAGACAAAAAGATAAGGTTCTTCTCGTCCACGGAGCTCGCGTGCCGTTTGTGGTTCGTCAACAGCCAGGCACAGACCACTATGAGTTGATAGGGGAGTGTTATATCCATGGGGTCATGTACTACGATGATGCCGTTGCTGGTAAGGTCATGGACGAGAGGGTAATACTGGTGTAATGTGCAATGGAAGTACTTCGCCAGGTCTGGACACTTTGTAGGGTTGGAAGGGTGATATTACGAAGTATCAATTTCAGTTAATCATTAAATGCTTTATCAAAGTGGCATAGCATGCTATGGCATCTGATTCCTTTGAGCTCTCTGAAAGAATGTTGGCCAAAGCACTCTGTGCTGGTTCGTACGATTTCATAATTTGAAAAAAAAAAAAGAAGACAAGTGAAAAGGAAACTCAAAACAAAAAGACTTCTGCACTTTCAATCCCTCTCCCACGGTGGGATCCCATACTTTTTTCGAACTTCGTGCATGGCACGTTTGGGCAGCACAACGCCCTTGAGGACCTCCTCGGCGCTGGGCTTCTTGGTGAGATCAAAATCCCTGTCATTGCCGTCACGCGCGTCGGAAAGACATTCCCGAAACCTGGGTTCAAGGACCCTTGACGAATCCCAGAACACATATCCCAGGCGCCGGAGAGGCCAGAACTTATTATCGGATAATGGGATGGTGGGATAGCCGGGCCCTTCTTTGAACAATTTATACCCGAGATTTGGAGAAGAGAGATCATCGTGATTGTTTCGCTCATCCTTGTGGTTTTTATCTTCCTCTGGTGTAGCTGGCGAGGGGATAGCTCGCTCATCCTCTCCTAGGGGAGTTCCTCTCAGGGCGTTGAAATCTACATCGGCCAGGACTTGGGGCAATAAGGTCCTGCTCTTGCTGGTATTGTGTAGGAACAGATCATATTGCATATGTCGGGGGGCATCGAGAAACCCAGTGATGTAATTCAAACCGAAAGATGTAGCGTCGGACACCCAATGATAGAACCACTCTCTCTCACGTGACGAGAACAGCCTTAATTCCGGTTCAACCGACCAGTTAAATTCGCAAAGGTCGTCGTTATCATCAGGGACATTGTCTTTGGATATGACCTGAGGGCTCTGTTGCATCTGAATTGGGTTTCGGTGAGAAGATGGTAGTGAGCCACGATTACCCAGACTAAGAAGTGCTAGCTGACGAACGACTCTCGAGAACGGTGCAGCGGCCTCGTGTCCTGTAGGCTCAACTTGATGGCTCAATACCATGGATATCATTTCATCTTGCATTCCCTGGAGGACGGGAGCAAGTCGGCCCATGAGAAACTGATGCACACAGCACATTTCCTCCACCTCCCATGGCTCAAGCCGGCCAAGAAAGTGTTCGTGATGGGCTTGCACCGGGGACCTGCTCACCCACTTCTCCCGTGCAGACACCCCAAAGCACCGCGAGTAGAGTTCGAAACGGTAAAAGGCCCTTTGAAACCTCGCTATTTCTGTTCTGGAGAGCTCCGCGAACTTTGGCAGCGGCTCCAGAAGTTGGCTGCCGGCCTGCTGCTTTAGAAATATGATGAAGTGTGCCTTTGCCTCCTCGTAATACTGCAACGCAAGCAGCTCGACTTTAGAATGGAGCCACATAAGATTCATTAGCTTTAACCGGCTGTCTGGGAATACAGTCGGCCTGTCATGCTTTTCGTCGTCGAAATACCCGTCAAGGAAATTCCACAGCTCTCCAAGCTGCTCCTCTCTCGGGGCTACCGGCGCTTCTGTGGTAGCAATGGCAAGGCGTTGTGTTGCAGGCAAAATGGCGCGTGCAAGAACAGACGCGATGAGGTGTTCTCGGGCGGCAAGGAAGGGTTGAAGGAGAATAGGCGATGCGCAGAAGGCAGAATGAAGATCGGGTGCGCAATGTAAACGCTCAAGAATGAGCCAGATCAGCTCTAATGGGAGCTCTGCGAGACCCATGGTCAGGAATCAGGATCTACTCGTGCCGATCAAAAGGGAAGCTGGCTTGTGAGAGTTGAATCTTCGTTGGAGTCTCGGAGGAACGAATATGCTGACGGCTGACTTAGTGGTCTGCAAGAACCCTTTAGCACCAGACCTTTCGCTCAGCCAGCTTTCAATGCTGATTCTAATCAATTAGTGGATACGCACGGTTTGATTTATTGATTGTTGGAGATGCCAGGCCTGGCATCTTGTAATACCACATATATACATAGGTATATTTAATACCTGTGCCTGGGCTGAAAGTGGGATATTTTAACTTTTCCTTGTGGCGTTGAAGGTTCGGGTATGGACCGCTAATCGTGTTTAATCTCCAAAGAAATTGTGATCAGATCACGTGCTGCCTGATCTTGGGATATACCCTTGTTTGTGGCCAAAAAAACAAAACATGTATAGTCTTTTTTTGGGGATTTGGGTTTAACTTTATACTTGAACTCTCAATAGGACGGACACTCTGATCAACTTGCTGGGTATGCTCTTGTGTTACAACGGAACCAAGGCGAGCGACGACCTACCTAAGCATGCAAAATATGCCCTGGTTTCGACATCTCTGGTGATTGAGCATCCAAGGGAGCTCTTTTGAACAATTGAAAGTTGTCCTGTGAATTTTTCATCTTGCTTCTTTCTGCTTTTAATAGGTACAATATCGTCCACTTCACAGCCTATTTCCGCGTAGTCATCGCATACTCTCGAATGATTCTAGCTCTATTTCGTCCATCAGAATGTTATTGACAATTTATAAGTGGAAGAAGACAGAAGGGCTTAATATTTTACCAAAGCGAGGATTCTGGCGGCGCTTAAACTTTTTCCATAGACCCCAGAACAAAACGATGATGGTGGGCAAATTGGCCATGAGCGTCGCAATTGCGATTATAGCCTCCGGTGTAAGACCCATATCGAGAAATATTGGACCAGATGGAGAGTATAAAGTTGCATTTGAATCAAGAAGGGAGGTGAGACTAGTAGCAAGTCATGGCCCATGAAGGGGCCCAAGACTCGTGGGAGATGGGATAGCTTATATGCCTGGCATCATAATTAGAAACGAGAAGTGCAACCCATCCAGGCAGTACATTGCGGAAGAAGTCATGCTGAATGCAAATAGTGGCAACAGCCAATCCGACGTGGGCTCGGAATGATGGCTGTGCTTGAAAAGCCAAATTCTGGCTTCAACCAATCAACAAAACCCAGGTCAGCCTCGATCTGTCACACTGTCGTTCATGAATAGAGGCTGAGATTGATATCTGATTGGAGACTGAACATAAAGGAGCTGCATATAATCCGTATTGTGGACGCAAATAGTGGCAACAGCCAATCCGACGCTGGCTGGGCACGCTGGCCGTGCTTGAAACACAAATTCTGGATTCAACCAATCAAGAGAAATATGACTAGCCAGAATCCATTATATGGTGGTGGGTTGCATAATAGGTCGATGAGAATTCTGGCATTCACCAATCAAAAGCGAAGGAACGGTCTGCGGTCAGCACAACGTCACCCTACCTCTGGAGGAAGTGCAATATTGCCTTAATTTCTAAGGTACAGAAGCCCAAGATAGGGAGACGGACATTGGGCGGTGGTCAGTCAGCTGGTCTACATAAACTGGCTTGCAACCCACCTGAGAAGGAATCGTACAGATCTACAAATCTGCCCAGAAAGTTGGCACACAGGGATTGGCTATGGTAAAATCAACTCCGACTTCGATTTGCTTTCCCGCTTTGCCGTCTCCCTTTTCCGCATTCACCATCGAATCATGTCGGCGTCCAAGATTCTTCCCTCCGAGTGGGAAAAATATCGGCAGTTTATTCAGAGCCTTTATGTGGACAAGAACTTACCTCTCGACGCTCTTGTCAAGGAAATGGAAACAGTTCACAGGTTTACCGCCACGTAAGTACCAACCATTCTCCTTTCTTCCCGACCCCAATCTTTATACATGCGTTGCTAATTTTCGATTCGCGTAGAAAATCACAATACATACGCAAGTTGGCAAGCTGGAAGATTAAAAAGAACGCCACCTCGATTGACTGGAAAAAGGCCGCCATAATTATCGACAAGCGCAAGCGACAGGGCAAAGAGTCTGAAATCTATGTCGATGGGAAACTGATCCCTTCCAAGAAGATGAAGAAGGAGACAGCAAGACATTGGCCTTCTTATCTAGAGAGTATTGAGATGTCAGGTAAGCGTTCTTTTGTCATCAATCTGACCAAGTAGTACTAATCTCTCTTTGGAAGCCCATGAAATAGATCTGCCGGGAGATTTTGTCGTTCAGACTCCACCAGCGACAACGCTTCATCCCATACAACCTCATCGATGTAAGGTGCAACTGGATGGTCTTCCTTGGATGAAGTTTCATGATACTTTCATATAACATTCAGCATCCTTCGCAGGGCCTGGTTTTGACAATGTCCCGATGGACCTTCTGACAAATTTGCTCGTCGGAACCCATGATTCTACAACAATTGCAACTGCATCCCAGATGCTTCAGCATTATGATAGAATATTACCATTGAATCTAAGCGACAGATTTCCGACGGCAGATAACTCTCTGGGAGACGAATCTTGGACTTATTTCATCCTTTGTCTTGCTTACCTCGCCTCGAATAATCTTCTCGAAAGCAAACAGATTGGAGGCATCCTTGAGTGGATCGACAGCACAAAGAACGCCCAATTAATACAAGCTCTCCTTCAATTGAAGGGTCCAACAATCGAATCCTGTGCCTCTGTTTTGTTTTCGGAAGCGGTTTGCAATGGACCAGCCAGTATAGTTCAGTTTTTCCTCCTGAATGAGTATGACCCAAATACTCGAATCCATCATCACTCTCTTGAGATTGGATCCACTGGACTGGAGATTGCGATCATAATGGGAAATAATTCAGTGATAAGACTCCTCTTAAAACATGGAGCTGATCCAAACAAATGTGGAGATCGCCCACTTCACCCTGTTATCCAGAATGGAAACGATGCTAACGATAGCCTATACATTGCGAGTTACGGAAGCTTGTTAGCCTTATATATTGACTACGATTGTGACGAGGATATTATCCAATTGTTCCTTGATGCCGGGGCAAACATCGATGGTGAATCAGCTGGGCTAGTCATGAATGGAGATGACGAGAAAGATTATTATTTTATCAACTATGACAATTCTCCTGAGGGTGTACCGCTTGTGAAAGCCGCTTACAGGGGTAATACCCAAGTAGCACAATTCCTACTTGAAGCAGGCGCGAATGTAGATCAGGTCGATATAAAGTGGGGATCAGCGATTCAAACTGCCGTCAAAAATGGTGACATGGATATGGCCGAACTGTTAGTCGAGGCTGGGGCGGATATCAACCTCAGCAAGGAACCATATAGCCACGCATGGTTTTTCGATGGCCCAGGACATGTCCCAATGAGGCTTTTTTCTCCGCTCCAGTTAGCGACAAGGGCCAGGAACTTTGATATGGTCCAGTATTTGCTTCGATGTAACGCTGATACAAATGGTCTTCCCGCTCTGGATATCATTGAGAAGGCCCCCTATGCAGAAGATATGGTTTGGGGGGATTATGAGACCCCGCTTAGTTATGCTGTTCTTGAAAGCGACCTGGACATTGCCACGCTACTTCTGGACTCAGGCGCAGACCCTAACGCCGTTTCCTTACATGGACATACAGCGCTTGGGGCTGCATGCAGAGAAGAGAACCTTTGGCAGCCAGATATGGTGAAGTTGCTCCTGGACAATGGGGCAGAGCCTCAATGTCACCTGGGCCCAGAGCTACAGCTTGCAATTCTCCACGGGGATCTGATCTTGGTTGACGATTTGCTCCAAAAGGGAGTGGATATCAACGCTCCTCCATATTTCAAAGGAAAGAGAACTGCATTACAAGCTGCAGCAGAAACCGGAAATGCCTCGCTCTTTAATTATCTTTTATTTTTGGGCGCAGACTTCAATTCGCCTGGCGCCGGCGAGAAAATCCTGTCATGTCTACAGGCTGCCATGCTTTCGGGAAATGATGAGATTATCAAGATGATCTTAAAGTATGGCGGAGCTGCAACGGCGGAATCCATATTATGCGCCGTCAAGATACGTTCTTCCAAGATGATAGACCTTCTGATGGGGCTGGGGGCGGATGTGAACACGCCCGGTATCGCTGACTTAAGTCTAGACTTCGGGCCCCAGCTTGTAACACCTCTTGTCTTGGCTATAGACGCCAAAGATTTCGATATGGTCCATACGCTTCTACGGTCAGGGGCTAACGTGTCCCATATATACTGTGAATCTGAGTCAATTTTACCTTTGCACCAGGCTATTCGTGCGCGCGATTTGCGTATCACGAGAACATTGCTCTCACATGGATCTGACCCCAACCAAGTCGAACCATTTTCTGGAGAGACCGGCCTTGGCACGGCCACAAGCTCCTGTGTTAATTACTGGAGCCATCCAATATCATTTGATGAGAAGCGGCTGGATCTCAAGTCGATGACCGCCATCATTCGTGAGCTGATAGATCACAAGGCGGATGTTAACCTGATGACCAAAGGGAGGTACCTACTCGAAGACGTGATCATGAACGACGAATTGTTGAAGATATTTATTGAAGCTGGAGCTGATATCCATGCCCTGGGGGGTATCTCGTTAGCAAGAGCCATTTGTAGGGGCTCCAGCGCGACTAGATTGTTGCTCGACTTTGGTGTTGATCTGAATCGCCCAGATCAAAAGTGCGGAACACCACTTCAGGCTGCCATCACGGTCGGGAATTTTGGCCTGGTTTCAGAGTTGTTCGAAAGGGGCGCCGATGTTAATGCCGGTCTCAACAACTTGCTTGCCTATGCTATCGATTTGCAACAGTTACACATCGTTGAGCTCTTGCTTGAAAAGGGCGCGAATACGAATGGTATCAGTTTGTCGAAGCATGATTGGTTTTGCTATGGAAGACAAAGGCCGAGTTCCTATGTAGGAGATAGGACAGCGTTGGTGGCAGCGGCTGAGCAAAACAATTTTGACCTTGTCAAGGCTCTGATTGAACGAGGAGCGAACGTGGAAGCAGACAACGCGCAACGAGGCTCCAGTCCACTTCAAGCGGCATCGATCAATGACAACTTACCGATGGTTCGGTTGTTGCTTGAGAATGGTGCAGAGGTAAATGCCAAGCCACGAGGCTCTAGGCTTGATGAAACGTCTACGTCCTCGAAAGTCTGGAGCTCTGGCCGTAGGACTGCGCTTCAAGCTGCGAGCGAGAATCGGAATTTACAATTGGCTAAACTTCTTATTGAAAGAGGCGCAAAAGTCAACATGAAACCTTATGAGGACGAGGGAGCAACAGGTCTGCAGCTTGCTGCTAAAAATGGGGATATCCAAATGGCTGTACTCCTTCTTGAGCATGGGGCAGATATCAATGGCCCTAGGGCTTCTCGAAATGGCCGAACAGCCCTTGAGGGAGCAGCAGAGCATGGCCGGCTTGATATGGTTCACCTCTTGTTGCAGAATGACCAGGATGAGACGGATCTTGAAGTAAGGTGTGAAGAGGCTGCCAAATATGCGGAGAGGAGGGGCCATCTAATCATTGCGAAAATTCTGAGCGAATGGACACATAGGTAATGATGAGAAGTCCGAGAAAAGTTCAATCAGGCTATATACTTTCCACTCATATATCAAAATTACACGGGCAAATTTGGGAGCTTCCCAAATAACACTTGAAAATGACATCTCATAGACCAAAAGGCTTTGCCTGACGGCTTGTGCAATAAATAGGCCCCATCCATTTGTCATTTGACCTATAATGAGCCCGGTAAGCTGGAAAGACAGAGGAGATGAGCCCACGGCGACTCGAAGTGGCATCTTGACTGAAATGTAGGACTGATGGCTACGTATTATTTGCTCCAGAAGCCCACTGAATTGTCGATTTCCAATTATTACCACTTACTGTACATCTAAGCAACAGTGTCTGCCCTTATATCATTCCTAAGTAAGTCTAAGCAGGAATCTGAGGGCCTCAATCTTGATCTTAGTAGGTTACACTGGCCGGCTGGATTTGGGCACAGGTGAAATCAAATGAACTTTGAAATCCCGACAACGCCCCGGTGCCCTTGAGGATGGGTCCAAAAGTTCCTTCACCCTGAAACAACATGTCAAACCAGACTGGTTGTACTCTGAAATACGTTTTCTGGCCGTATGACTCCTTGGGTGTACGAGCAAAGGCTATATTTTTAAGCTTTTCCTCTTCACTGCGTTGAGTTGGTCGGGCCCCCGCAGCTTCATTGTTGTTAAAGTTTATCATTCGTATTCTCCCACGCGTACTCTGAAATACTGTCACATCAATATCATGGGTATAACTAACCGACACCAGTAACCGCTTGGTCGATATCAAATCTTGTGATATTGATATCTGGCCGTGAGACTAAAAAGTTCAATGACCAACTGAGAATGTAACCTCACGGAGAGCATGAGGTATTGATCACAGGCCGTAGCCCCTCATGGTCCCCCACCTACATACTAAAGGCATCGAGCTCAGCCTCATCACCACACGGTCCGCTCGCACCTCAAGGGTCTTTCCCGGATTCCCGCTATATGGCCTTACTTGAACAACACCTCCCTGATGCGCTTCATACCGTTGTGGACCACTGGTGGTATCTCGTGGAGACCGGACAGAAGGAGCTGGGAGGCCCCAGGCGGTCTCTCTCCCCTGTTTACCATGCCCTCTACCCTAGCAATAATATTCTGCAAGCTACTGTACCAGTTTGATTCGAGGAATTTATCAGCATACTCCTTGTCGCCGTAGGGTTAGCTACAGGTGAGATTGCAGGTTGTCAAGAACGCGTTGGCAGTTTCCACCATGTCCCCTCTCTGGCATGAGGACCCTACTCCGATTAACATCTTGGAAGCAGGGATAAAAGCAAACGATCGAAGGGTCATAGTAGGCGAAGCCTTGATGACGCTGAACCACCCTGGTCCAGAGCAGGATCAAAAGCATAATATCTGCGCTAGAAGCTGCTGCGGCCGATACACTCGATGGTAACAATCAACTGGCGGGGACGAAGACAATTGCCATGATTGTTCGTAAGCGACGCGCTTTGCAAGAGCAAGGGAACCATCGCCTTATCAAGGTGTCCCCTGGTTATATCTGCGACAATTACGACCAACACGTTCGAAGTGGTTTTAACTATCGCAATATTAGTAGTAATGCAGAGTATGACATGCGCCAAAGATGTTTGGACAGTGGATTACTTGTTCTTCTCGCCGCAAACCCAGACAAAAGACGATTACTCTGAGTAAGTTGGGTGGATGGGCATGAGTATTTAAAAAACATCGATGTTGGTCTGTGCTTGAGCTGAACTCTTTGTTACTCTTATCCTCCCCGAACACATTGGACCAGGTCAGAATGAGTTTCTCAGGCTTGGTTCATTGCCAGTTCTCCTCTTGTCCGGAGACACGTCAAGTATACATATGTCTAAAGCCTGCATCCCTGCTGGTAGTTCATCGTCGCATGCAGGAGCATATCAACGCTGCAGCTCGGCTCTGTTTGCAGCCCGGGTCAGTTACTGTGGATAACTTTGACCACTCTGTGTGGAATATTCTTGCCATGATCCAACCTCCCGCACGTCATATCAAACCCAAAACCAGGCTTTCGTATCAGTTGAGATATGTGCGATCCTCGGAGAAGAAGAGAGAAAATCCCTCAATGGAGAAAACCGCCAATAATGGCTGGGACATCCGGGGGCCCGGTTCAATGTTTACGTTGAATTTGTCAACCCTTGTCCTCGGCAAACCAATAAGTTCCACCCCGTACGCAATTATTGAAAGAATGAAGAGCGTTATTAGCTCTTCCTGTCTCTTCCACACGTGGCTGTGGGGATTGAAACGTTTCTGGTCTCCCGGTTCCGCCCTTTGTCCCTTGTCAATCAAGGCCACGATCCCCGTCTTTGTGCATGCATTAGAATGCTTGAGAACCAATTGGGTCAAGTTTAATTTACCACCACACTCGTCAGTACTGAAAAGCAAATCCTCGGAATACAGGGAACGAGGGAAACGCCGTGTAGCAAATCACACAGCCAACCTCGCTCACACGACCCCAATGAAACGCTTCGTAAACACGCACGAGCGGGTCGTTGCTAGGATCTGACCCAAGGCTAATGCGATGCGGCTGACAACGCTATTCTAATTGGTGTCTGGTCTTGCCTGTTTACGTCCATTTGATCCTCCCCCCCGCGCGTGTGTGTGGATTTCTTGTATCGGGATGCAGCAGTATCAGGTGATGACCGTGGTGGTAACCGAGTGGTGCCATTTTCCAAGGGAATGACCTTCCGATAAGCGATCTTATACATACGATCAGTCCCCCCCCGAGGCGAAAAAAATAAATCCCGAGATCTACCTCTCATCCTTCTCAAACCAAACTCTGTCGGGGAATTACTCACCCGCTGCAAATCCTCCCCCACGCTTAATCCGCCCATCCCAAGTCGAGCCGTATCATGGCCGAGTCAGGCAACAGGATGGACAGCAGCAAGAGCAACGAGACGGCTTCGGCGGCGGCCCAACCAAGCGTGTCGGAGGAGAGCAAGAGCGAGATCGATCCCACCGTGTACACCCATCACCGCAATCTTTCCAAGCCTCTGATCGACAAGTGGGATGCCATCTACGCTCAGGTTGAGAAGGAGAATGCCGAGATGACGGACGAGCAGATCATGGAGAAGTATCCATTCATGAGTGAGCTTTCCCTATAACCGTGGTGCGACGATGTCCCGAGCACTTGATTAACAATATGGATGATAGAAAATCTGGGACCCAGCACCTGAGCCGAAACTTGACGGTTGGAACAATCGGAACGTGACATTTCACTGGAGCACGGATGGTCGGCGGCGGCAGGCTTTCTACCCAATCGGCGTTATTTTTTCTTTCTTTAAATTTTGGAATTCGATATCTCGGAAAAGCCGTCTATGGATCATAGACGCGCAAGAAGCCAGAGGCTAATCGAGCAGAAGTTGTTTTCAAACTTCTCCGATAGTTATGTTGAAATCTGGGAGGGAAGTTATGCATTATACACGACAGCATTCTACCTTGAGGGCAATCATTGCACCTTTGTTAAACACTTTTAAAATACAGGACACCTTATCTGTGCTTTACCAAAAAAACTCGACAGCCCGTGTATGAATTGCGGTAGCCATGTTTGACTGATGCCCATGCTAAGTCAAGTAGCTTGAGATGATCTCCGAGCTATTACTTTGCATTCGAGAACAAAGGCAAGCTGAAACTGATGACCTGGCTTAAAGAGGCGTTGAAACTATATTCCAAAAACTATGAGTAGCTGTCAGGTAATATTGTAGGATTGTTCCTGAATAACGGTAGAAATTGTTTTCTGGATGTTGCTAGCTTCAACGTTGCCTGCACGTACCTCAACCAGGTATACCACGGTGCGACCGAGTCTGGTTTGCATGATTAATATAATAATTGCTGGCATATTAGGCAATATGAAGGAATCTTCAAACACTACGGTGCTCAAATGTCTTAATTGTGATGTACCTAGGCCATTTGATAAGGGAAAATCAATTTCTCATATTCCTAAATCGTATTGAAGCTCATTACATAGCCAATTCAGGCACATCCCATTACTGCAACCCGAAAATATACTACAAAAGAGTGAAGAATGCCCCCAAGAAGACAATTCCCCAAAGGAAGGCGCAATTGTTCATAAAATGTCGTGACTGAAACATCACCGATGAAATACCGGTGTAAACACAACATAATTATTTGGTGGCGAGAGCATCGTCAATAATCTTCCACGTGTGCTCCTCCACCTTCTTCAGATTCTCCTCGCTCCAGACCTCCTTGTTAGGAACAATGCGGCCTTTGTCGTCAATCGAGTTCCAGACCCTGGCATCCTTCTCGCTGGCCGCCGTCACGCCCTTGACCAAATGGTCGGCGCACGACTCAGGAGAGACAGCCAACACGGCCTCGGCGCCCTTTGCCAGAGGCTTGAGGTACCAGGGCAGGTTCTTGACGAGTCCCGTGCTGACGAATCCGGGATAGGCGTGGAAGAAGTACCGATGGCTCGTGCTCGGCTCGGCGGGCTGCAGCTTTGCGGCGTGAACCTGGACCATGGCGTCCGTCATGGAGATGCAGTGATCGGCAGCCCTGCCGAGGGAGAAGGTGTTCTTGAGATCCAGGTCGTCCCAGTTCAGCTTGGACGAGCTGCCCCGTGTTGCATCCAGCACGATGAGGACCTTGGCGTCTTCCTTGAGGACGGGGGCGAGTTCGCGAATGAGGAGTTGCTTGCCGTAGAAATGTAGGGCCATCTTGTTGTCGATGCCCTCTGGGGTCTCAGTGCGGCCGGCCATGGTGAAGATGCCCTGGCTCATGACGAGCAGGTCGATCTTTGGCTCCTGGGCCGCCTTGTACTGATCCGTGTACTGCTTGATGGCGCGCATGGACGAGGCATCGAGGGCCCGGAACTCCATGTTGCTGTGAGGGAGTGAAGATGGTTTTGTCCTTCCGCTGATGATGACCGACGAGCTGGCTTCAGAAGCGATACGATTGGCGATCGCGTAGCCAATGCCAGCGGTGCCGCCGACCACGAGTGCTCTGATGCCCATGGTGATGTCTGTATAGTCTGAGTGATGGGTGATTGTGCTTGGAATGTTGCCGGAGAGGCTGGAGAGGGATGACGTTAGTTTTTATTCACACGTGAAACTCCGCCCAAAGTGTCTGATGACAACTGCAATGGCTGCCTGAGGAACGATGAAACTCCGCAATTAATGTCACTGAGAATTTTGGTGTGAGCCAAGCCCAGACTGTTGTCCTGATTTGGTAGCGGATCTTCCCTGTTTATGCAGGCCATTTTTTAACTCCGTCAAACTCCATGAAGCAGCAGAACAAAGAATACAAAACGTGGCGTGTCGTACGAAGTAGGTGGGAGACAAGGAACTCGAATCGCAACAAAGGCCGGCAAGACAGCTGTAATGGGGCTCATGGCGCTGTACATTGGCATCGCAATTAATGTGCGACCCGAAACTTTAATTAAGGAGTTTTGATAGTTCTCAGAATACTGATCCAAGATATATAAAAATCGCATTTACCCCAATAACCAGGAATCAATCTACATAACCATTACCAATTTCTTAACCAACTCCTTAACCTGGTACCATTTTCTTTTCAATCGATACCTATTCCTTACCAGGCTGAACACCAGAACGCCTAAAACTACCATGACCACCCGCGGCGTTGAATGGGTTGAAACCCAATTTGGACCAAGGCCAGAATGGACGAATAGTCCTGACCAAGACGCTATATTGCAGGCGGCTCGACAAGCCTTAAACTCGAACGAGCTATGCTCTGTTAGATTTCTTTCTCAAGGAGTCTTTAGTAGGGTTTATATGATAAGTTCATTCAGAGAAGAGTACATCTTCAGACTAAGCCTACCGCTATATCGACGTTGGAAGACTGAAAGTGAGATTGCCACCATGGAATGGTCCAGAATAAACACATCTCTCCCCGTCCCTCGAATCTTGGCACACATGAATGACCCCCCACAAGCGGCGGGCTACGAGTGGATAATCATGGAGAAAGGTTCAGGAAAGCCCCTCGAGGATGCTTGGGCAGATATGGACTACTCTTGTAAGAGTAGGTTCATCAGGCAACTGGCCGCATTCTCAGCAGGTACATTCGAAAACAAGCTAAGAGGAATGGGAAGTCTGTACTACTGCAACAGCTCCCTGTTTCCGGCACTCCCTCCTGGCAATTTAGAGGAAAGGACATATCCAACTTTATTCGATCCATATGGCGAGGGCAGCCCGGGATTCCCCTTTAGACTAGGACCGGGAGTCTGTTCACTGTATCTCTGTCCCTACCTCGAACGCGATCCCCAGGGACCCTTCTGGACCTCTCGAGAATGGGTAATCTCGCTATTAAAATTTGCCGATGAGGACCTCCAAACACGTTTTAAAGAAGGAACTGGAAGCTTTGTCCAGGGGCCCGGAGGGATTGAAGTAGTCTCCATTCTTCAAAGGTTAGGAGCACTATTGGATGCTTTCTTTCCACCATATTCCACATCGGAGCCTGAGCCCACCATGCTCTACCATCACGGTCTCAACGAAAAGAGTATTCTAGTTGATGATGACGGCTCAATTACTTCAGTCATCGACTGGGAATGCATGTCCACCATGCCGCTGTTTCTGGCATGTGACTTCCCTGAATTTCTTATCGATGACCCGTGTTATATTGAGCCAAATATCGACGACTATTATGAGGGGTTGAATGACCCCCGTTATCGGACTCACTATGGACAATACGAGTTAACTCGGCTGAGAGAGATCTTTTTTGATGAGATGAAGAAATTGTGTCCGAAATGGGTGGAGATATTCGAGTCTTCTCAGCATCAGAGAGATTTTTTCGAAGCCATTACCACCTGTCGGGAACATCATGGGGATCCGATGATGTGCGAGATACTTGGAAATTGGCTAACTGATATGGAAACGGGCGCGACAGACGTCATGGGTTTGACTGAGAGGCTCTTTGAGGCGCTTAATTTGGCGGATACATTAAGTGAGAAGTCTGAAGACACGGAAGACATTGAGATGGGTGAATAGTTCTACTAATAATCGAGGTTTCATAAAGGTAATTTGATTCAAAATCTTAAATCAACCAGAATATCGGTCCTGAAGTGAGGTAAATTCTGGGCCTTTGTCACTGTTTCTCCAACATGTTTATTTTCCATCTAGGATTTCAGTCTGATTAGCGGGAATAGTTCGCGAGGAGCCATCATACAAAGTAGTCAGTATAAAGTGAAACAAAGTTTATTAAAGTCTGAATGATCTTTTTTCAGTCATTGGATAGCCGAGGCCCCGTGAACCATTATATGAACTCCAAATCAGTCGTAACATCCCCCCGTTTCGCCCGCCACATGTCTACGTAGTAATTCGTTTTCGGAGCCCATATTCCTGTTCCCGCTTTGGGGAAGACTTGGCGGATCGGTTTCACATACGTCGAGGATAAGCTCATCATCGGTTGCTCTTTCATGGCCTCATCCGCCACTCGAGGCACAATGGCGCGAGCATTCCGCCTCTCCATTATGCGCCTGAGGCGTACAAATATCCGAACAGATATGTCGGCGCCTAAAGTCCACGAGGCATTCTGGAATTCCGTAAGGAAAAACACGTTGGGCACATCTTGTACCATGACAGCTTTCCAGGCGAACTTTTCGTTTAAACTGCAGGGCTGCCCGTCGATAGAAAATCGAATGCCGCCGCCAAACTTGAGTTTGAGCCCCGTGGCGGTGACGATGACATCTGGTTGGAGGGATGTCCCTGACTCTAGTTCGATCGAATCTTTTGTGATTTCTTTTATTCTGTCCGAGACCACGTCTGCTTTCCCTGATCGAAGCGCGGTGAAGAAGTCCCCATTTCTACAAGCACAGAATCGCTGCTCCCACGGGTTGTAACGAGGTTTGAAGTGCGGATCCCATTTGATTTCCGGTGGCAGCTGTCGGAGTGTGACGGCTTTGATGAAAAGCTTAGCAAGTCCGGGTGATAGCTCGCAAATGAGATTGGAGAGAACACTGCCCAAGAGGTACACGAACCACAAAATAGATGACGCGACTCTCTGGGGTAGAACAGTGAAGAGAAGACTTATAATGAAGTGCGTGTCTGATAATGGTAGGATATAAGTCGGGCTTCTCTGAAGCATTGTGACTCGCTCTGCCTTGTCTGCAACAGACGGAACAAGTGTCACGGCCGTGGCTCCGCTCCCGATGATGACGATATTTTTGCCAGAATAGTCGTAGTCTTTGGGCCAGAACTGCGGGTGGATGACTTTACCCCCAAAGTTCTCGATCCCAGGAATCTGCGCCTGAAGAGGTATGCTATAATCGTAGTAGCCAGTCCCCAGAAGCGCGAACTTGGTCTTGAAGACAATTGGATCGTCTTTGCCAGCCACAGAGACTTCCAACTCCCAACACATCGTCTTTGATTTCCAGCTGGCCGCTGTGACGGTGTGGCCATAGCGGATTTTGCTAGCTATCCCTGTTTTCTGGGCAGCTTCGTTCATGTAGTTCTTGATGTCCTGCCCGCTGGCCATTGACCGGGCCTGGCTCCATGGATGCCAGGGCAGCCCGAAAGTGAACATGTCGGAGTCGGAGCGAAGGCCCGGGTATCGAAAGAGATCCCATGTCCCCCCAAGAGCGTCTCGGCTCTCCAGAATAACATAGTTCGCGCCCGCGGATGTCTCATTCTGCACTCGATAGGCAGCGTTGATGCCGGACATTCCCGCGCCAACAATGACAACGTCAAAGGAGGCCGTTGTAGTCGAGTCCTCCATCTTGCACACCGGGATTGGATGGCTGTTCGAAAACTGCTCACCACCGTATGATTGATTATGGTGCAGAATCTTCTTAGTGTGTGCTATCAGAACGGCAGCAGATATTTATCCTCGCACAGAGTCTGGTTTTGATAGCCGGTGCGGTGGGATAGAATCAGTAGGGCGCAGCACGCGTCACGCTGCAGAGTAAACGAAGACACGAGTGATGCGATGCAGAATCAGGGATTGAGGTATCGAGAGAAACTAGCAAAAGGATAAATGCGGCTTAGCTTCTTGGACGCATGACACCTTTCCGCATTTATTCACGTCCAAAGGAGTGGCACAAATCTGAGCGAAGGTGACGATGAGAGCTGGACATTGATCATCGTGCGGGGAAATAGGGTTGCGCCGAGGCTCCCATTATATGTAACTTCATCTGATACTCGTAGCAATGCTCCCAAGAATGACTCTAAAAGGAAATGCGCAGCGTTCTTTTGTGATACCGAGGTTAAAGTATGCCACCACAATGATACATGGACGCTGGCAACTCTCGATGATGAGTCTAGGAATGCATCTGAACGTTGCCATGGAGATATTGGTTGTTAATCGCCCCCAAACTATTTCTCATAACTGAACACATACTGGTATTAGATCCCGCCATTATGTAAATTATCACAGAGCCTTCTTCCCGCGGCCTTTTTTTCTTCTTCTTCATATAGGGTAGGGAAAAAGAATTTTGTATTGCGGTAAAGCACTCTCTGTCAGAAATGAAAGCTATGGCAGATGGATGTCTGAAATTCAAGACAAGCATATGAACAAAGTATCCGTTGCAGAAAGCTGCATTTCAGCTACTTTTGTCCTTCAGTATGTGACGGGCTGCTAAAATTCCAATCCCATTTCGAACAACCTCTTGTAGCCATAATGGAAGCCCCCTAAACCTGGAAATGACCCCAATATTCCGGGGAACCATCACCTGCCCTCCTTTCTTGCTGAGAACTTGGCCGACAATCTGCTCAGCAACCTTCTCCGCAGGAAGCATCCTCACGCCTGTGCTGTCAAGAACGCCTTTGATGTCTTCAACAAGCGCCGTCTGCGCAAAGTAAGGATGAACGATCGAGGTTAGAATATTGGGCGCTTTGTATATATTCCGTAGCTCTACCTTCAGCGCCTCGTGGAATGAAAGCGCTGCCGCTTTTGTTGCACAGTAATCGGCTGAGCTTGGAAGCGTTACAAAAGAGACAATGCTGGCAACCGTCACCACATGCCCCTTATTCTGCATGATCATGTGTGTGAGGAATTCCTGTGTTGTGAGCCACATACTGATGGAGTTGACACCAAACACCGTGCGTACTACAGAGGGAGGAGTCTGAAGGATAGGGGCCGGCCGTGTGTACCCGGCATTGTTGACAAGAATGGACGGATGCCCAAAGTCCATTCGGACGCCAGTGGCGGCAGCAGCAATAGAATCCTCAGAGGTGATGTCACAGCTGTAGTGGCGAATGCGTGGATTACTTTCCAGGGCCTTTGGCAGCTCCTGAACATCGAGAACAGCAACTCGGACGCCAGCTGCAGCAAGCTGTTCGCAGATGTGTCTGCCAATTCCACCGGAGCCGCCCGTGACGACGGCGACTTCGTTCGGCCAGTCCCAGCCGGTGGCAGCAGTCAGGCGGAAGTTGTTGGCGGCGATGGAATTCGCAAGCTTGTTGAGTCTGTCAATGACTCCAAACAAGAACAGCGCTTTGAGTATCCAGACGAGCTGTGGTGTGTTCACAAAAGAGGGGGATACGTGTAGCCAAGGGAAGCGCTCAGCAAGGGTTTGCAAAAGTTGACGGACAGAATCGGGCGCGAAGTTGAGGGTAGCGAGGATTGGGCCATTCAATAGGGGAGAGGTGATGGCTCTGTGAAGGGAATGGAGAGCATCCCAGCCGGGTGAGTTCATGGTGAATCGGCTTATGGTTGACCAGTGATTGCTATAGAGCTTGATCTATGAGCCAGATATGGGCCAAAATATGCCGCGTAGTTTGATCTGAGATGAGGTTGAATGCGATGTTAGCGCTTCAGGAGTTGTGACACACATAAACAGTCGACTACAGCGGGGAAATTCAGGCATATTGACCGTGGGCACAGGGGTTAGCTCATGCCACTCTGTTTCAGCCAAATGCTCATCTGCCTCGGCCGTTGCTTAGTTGGACAGGGGCTAGTCCGTTGAATTTCATCCTCATGCCCCAGAAACGAAGGAGATGGATGAAAAGAGGCATATGTATATTGGACTATATGGGAAGTGCTCTAGATCGGTATTCTAAGAGGTAGATAACCCACGGCCGAGAACATGTACGACTTAAATTTCAGTGGCATGTTATTGTAATATACATAGTATAAAAGAAGTCTATTGAATCATGCATCGTAGGGCTCATTAGTCCTCATAATATAAACCTCCGCAACTAGAACAGTGCAGCCAACAATCATGGCGATGGCAATGATTGGAAGGTTAACACGCGCAAAGTCCAGGCTTCGTACACGAATATGTTTTCTGGAAAGAATGTCTCTCCAGAGAAGCCCAGCCAGGGAGGCACTGAAGCAAGTGCTGAAAGCACCATAGTTCACACCCAGAGCCATTGCATAAACGGTTGCCCAGAATGTGCGGTCACTTATTGAGCTAGCATTGGGTTGGTGATGGATCTCTTCCCATGACTGTATGACCCGTGAAAGCAGAATCGTGGTCCCGATATTTGTCCCTGCAAACTGTGATCTGAGTCAGTATCATCGGAATCAACAAGGAAGCTGAACGGGAAGCTCACGTTGCATAGAATTACTGAGATAAAACCCATTCCTCCAATAGCGCCTACTGTTCCTGTCCTTCCTACCCAATGGTCCCAGCCGTAGGCAAACACGGGAACCCATCCTTTAGTGACTAGTGCCTGGACAAGGATAAACATGCAGAAGGCAAAGGGAACGAGTGCGAAGGGTAAATGTACTAATACGGCTGTAGCGGTGGGGAATGTTTCTTGCAACCATCGGAATACATCTTGGGCAATGGAAACGAGGGTTGTCGGCTTGGTGTGATTCTTGTTAACTGTGGCTTGCAGAGTCTTGGGTATATTGCTCATTTCGAGATCAGTCGGAGAGGTGAAAACTCCCTCCTTGACGTTGCTCAAAGCCACTTCGTTAGGATGATCCTCATTCTGGGTTGGATGTGGCATCTCGTTGAGATCCTTTTGCTTTTCGAATTGATATGCGGGATCTCTCTCCTTGGAGCTGAATCCAGTGGAAGTGTCTTTCTCTTGTAGTGTTTCCTCAGTCTGAGAAACCTCATCTTGACTCTGGCGAAGATTGGTCTGGCCAGAGGATGAAGTTGAAGTATAAACCACAGCAGGTTTCTGCAGGCCGCCATGGGCCAAGGAGGCTCGTCTAGATTCCTCTGCTTGAAAAGCTCTTTCAGCCCTTGTAGTCTCGACATCTTGCCTGCCACTTCGGGCGATGTTGCGCGTCTCCTTTCTATGATACCAGCCTGAAGCAACATCCCAGCAAAACATGACAACTGCTGCTGGAAGGGTCACGTAGAAAATAGGGTGCTTCCCTGTTTTGGTGCTCGCAGCATTTAAAGCCAATACTGTGGCCAACGTAGCAGCCATGATAACCGCACCAAATGCTGCGCCTCCTTTGTCGAGGAAGGGGTTCATGATCTCCTCCAACGAAAGAAGCTTTCCTTCCTCGTTATTAGCCAAATCAGCCCCGTCGTCATCAATATGGCCTCTGGCAAAGGGGATATTTGGATTGACTGGCTTCTTCCCTTTGACATCATCAGGAAGGTCATGGATTTGAATAGAACTGGGTATGAGGTTCTCATCCTCGAAGATTATGTAGACCAAGAAAGGCAAAAGTACGAGGCCAGTGATCACCACTGGTACTACCATGTTCGCTGTGTAGGCGATGAATTTGATATTGAAGGCGCCAGCGAGCACGAGGTTCGTTGGATTTGAAGAAACGAGGATTGCTGATGCAATATTGGCGACTGCAAATTGAGTATAAATCCACGCACGCGGGTGCACAATATTACGCGATACTCGGGTCATATAAGCCAAGAATGCCGTTCCAGAGAGGATGATAGGATCGTTGCCAATGAAACTTCCCAAGATAAAGAAGAACGTATAGAGGTAGCAAAATAGTCGAGGCCCAGCTTTGCCACCCCATTTGAGGACCCTGAAGGCTAGGTATCGGATAAGGCCAGACGCATCGATCGATATAGCAATGTAAGCCAAGGTGATGAAGAAGACCATGATGTCAAGGGGATCGATATTATCGGTACCGATGGTTCCATCGTGGATCTCTCGTCGCCCAATTGCTCCGATGGCAAGTAGGAATAAGTCTGCGATCAGAGGCGCCGTGACCATGTTCATTGGTAGTCTGGCCTTCACAAACGAATTGCTGTTGTCCTTGGGCCCATCTCTTGGTGAAATGACTCGAAGGCTACTCAATGCGTGTAAGAAGCCATTGTAGAGTTTCTTTGGTACGTATACTGGAATATGGAAAGGGAAAAGAACATTGATATCTTGAATGCGTCATTAGAGTGCTAATGTCTAGGAGCTCATGGATTGAGACTTACTGGTGAGAACAAAAACAACGAGCGTGACGATTGATCGCCACTCCTTGATTTCACCCGTATTGAGATCTTGCTTCATCTTGCTTCTTGGATCCTTGTTTGTCTCTTAAAATCATAAAGTCCTTTTCTTGGGCTGAATTGAAGCTGCCAAATTTACCCCTCTTTGCAGCCGAAGTTACATCAACGATTATATGTCGGTTCTCGTCTGCATGCATCTGGCCACATCAATCAAGTACTCCGGCTTCTGAGATGAACTGATTGGGCCATTGCCTCCCTTGCATTCTGCTTATGTGAGAAATACACAAGTTCCAAAGCTCTAATGCTCCATTTTCGCCCTGCGGATGCGGGTGTATTATTTCATCACTTGATGCAGCCTTTATGAGCCTAAAGGGGGTAGAGACTGAATATCCTGACTCTCCTGATGTCATGCTGTAGTCCCAGGGACCCAGATATTTAGAGACATCCCCCCAATCGAAATGATGGGAATGGTGGAAGCCTAACCTGTCTCACGCGGCTTAGACATGCTTGGGCACTGCCCATCGGGCGGGCACCGTATAGCCCGGGCACGACTCGAGAGAATCCCTGTCACTTGTTGCCACATTCCGACTTTCTCGAATGGTGAGGCCCTGAGGCGATCCTCAGCCCTGCTCTGTAACACTCCGTGGCCAGTCTGTGTTGCCCTCCATCCCACCCACCATTACCAAAGTTCTCTTCAAAGATGTCGCAGAGGATGAGGCCTAAACTCAAGTCCAGAGTAGAGAACCTCACGGGCCTGGGCAATTTCTTTTTAGACTTCTCACCTCAAAACATTTGGATGTTGATTTAACTACTTTCCACGAATTCCTACACGCTCCCATGTGATGATATCTACATTAAATCAAGCCCATTATCTACTACTTTGTAACCAATATTATTGCATCCCTCATTCGACGCAGGACCAGTCGGGCCGTGAGGTTTCCTCTGGCCAGGCCTAAAACATCATGGCGCCATTGCCTCTGACAGACAACTCCGCATACGATCTGTCACCAGTTCTCGAACCTCGAAACGACACCGACAATTCTGGTGGGGCTCTGCAAGTCATTTGTGCATGGCCAGTCTCCAGCCAATATGGGCCTGGGTCGAGGATCCTGTGAGTCTTCCAGAACTGATTCATCCCCACATGCAACAAACCAGTCCTGATTTTAACCGCCGCGAATTGGCTTGAGACACAGGTTCTATCTTCTCATCGCCGCATGTGTACTAGCCAGGAAAGCAAACTGGATCAAGAACGCCTGCCTAGCTGCTGCTCTTTTGCTACCGACGATAGCTGCAGTGCATGCCATTGCCCTGGCCGCCCTCCATCGTGAAAGTAAGACGACTACGAGACATCGTCACAGTTCACTCTTCGGCTAACATGACAATAGAGGCTGTAGATATGGACATCTATGGGGCTTTTCAGTATTGCTCTATAGGGGTAGTAGTCGCCCCTATCACTGTTCGGTTGTCACGCACCTATCTGTACGATCCTGGCAGAAACACCATCTTCGTATGGGTGGGCCTTCTTCTTGCTGGTAATTCAGTTTCTGCGTCCTTTATAGCAACGAGGCAATGCAATGTATTGTGGCTAACTGACTCTGAGCGCAGGTCTTCTAAGCTTGGCAATTGAGTTCTACAGAACTCAAACCTTCAGTTGCCCACACGACAATGCCGGAAACCCTCTTTCAGCCGACGCCTCAAAGTTCCCGTACGGAGACCCTCCAAACTGCAGCTTGACTTGCTCCGAGGAAGAAGGCCCATTCTCCCCCATGCGAGGTGGCTCGGCGAAGAACGTATACATTATCCCAGCGCCGAGTGTGTTCACATTCGGCGCCGGGACGCTGTTGTCGGCTGCATGTTGCGTACACGCGATTCTGTGGTTGATTTCGATGGCAGATAAGATTCTTGAGATCAACTGGAAATCACAGTCTCGCAAAGGCAAACTGGGCGATCAAGATGATAGAAGCATTGACGAACCAATATCAGGCACAAACGGGGCGACAAAAAGAAGGATGAAGGATGTCAACGAGAACGTCAGATTCTACCTGAGCATGGCCGTGGTCCCAGTATTTGGAGGCGCAGGCTTTGCCATCCTCATTGTTGGAGAAATGAATTTCTTTAGCCGTCAGGTCAGCTACGAGATTGAACCGATGGCTGCCATTGGTAAGTTGTCTACTATTTGTCACCATTTGCAGTGAGGAAGAACCGAGTAATCCCGCTAACCAATTTGCCTTCACAGGTCAATGGGGCTCAATTGTAGGTCTTGGAGTAGGTTTAATGGGTTCGCTGTATCTTCTCTTAGCAGAGGATGTTGAAGACCTCAAGGAGAAGGAGATGGTTGCTGAGGCTGGCAACATGAATGCATCGCGAGATGCTTCTGTCACTCCACAGCCTGGCTCCCAAACCATCACGCCACAGCCTGACTCTCAAGCTTTCGACCTGGAGAGACTTGTCATAGGAAACACAGAGCATCCTGGCAACCCTAATGAAACAATACCGACCCAAGATAATGATACAAATGGGGGAAATGCTGGCAGGCAAAAGTTCGCCAAGTTGATGCTTTCCTTTAGCAACTCGTTGGGCACTGCTGCTCACGAGCGGCTTAATGACTCTGACTTTCATCGAGGATCGGTGCTTAATTGGCCCGAAATTCCTGGTGAGAAGTTTAGAAGTAACAATCTGCAGGATATAAAGAAGATATATGACCCTCCCAAAGATCAAGACGGCAATGTGACTCCTATGCCTCGCTCAAGTTCCAGGAACATTAGCTCCTCTGCTGAGAGCGGTAGATCTGGGAAAGATGACAGGAGTGGAGAGAGACGGCCAAGTCCACCAAGACGACGTGCCCGTACTATGCCTGCCGAGAGATCATCATACCAGACTCAGTCTGATCTTTCGCTCAGTCCTATTCCTAAGAAGGAACGGCCGAGAGGAAGACCAGCCCTACGGGAAAACATGTTTCGAACACCTTCGCAACATCACGAGCAGTCAGACGATGAATCATGCTGCTCCCCACTATCTTCCTCGCCATGCATTCTAATGAGTGGAGGACAAGGCGTAGACTTGGAGAATAGTGGCGAGGGACAGAATCTGCCTACCATATGCCTGTCTACTGAATCATCGTCGAAGATATCTCCTAAATCTTAATGTTAGGTTTTAGGACGGGGTGGGGATTAGGGAGGGAACAAGCTATAATGATGACTTTTTTTTCAGATCCAATTTCAAATGCTAGGTTGTTTTTACATCACCTCATATAACGAGCTCTATCATAGAGATAACATAAGATACTAACCCCAGCTACGAAATTAAATGACCATTATGTCTGTTGCTGCTTAGACCGGCTGCTCGTCTCGTTAATCGGAGTCAGCCCTCATGTTGTCGTCCGCGAGCACATGATCTTCTGTTGATATTTCTCACCTTGAACTAGGAACAGATCAGGCGCTCGCATTTGGGTACGGTACCCGTGACGTATGAATAATGAAGACTCGGGATTGTCAAAGCAGTTGACGCCTTGGCTGTAGGAGTGGTAAGTAATAATGCATCGTGCCATCACTTATGGTCACATTAAGGAGTTGAGGCAACCTGCATGGATACGCTTGGCAGACCTAGTCCTAATTTGAGGGTACCTTGCGACCTGCATGCCCATTTTGGGGCTATTGTTCATCCTGCTTGCGTATTGGCATTTATAGTTGGAGGTCATTGGTGGTCAACAATTGGAGAAGGCCTGAACAAGGTGTGAGAGATGATGACAGCCACGTAGACCACCGGGACCGGAGGGTAATCGTTCCTCCTGTAAGTTTTGTGACCAATACTAATTGAAAAGGTGCCGGGTCTTCCATTGATATAACCATTTAAACTCAGTCGAAGCTCTTCGATTGATTCACGTCATAGACCTGACAAATGAGCGCATCATGTCTTACCTAGAGCAACTGATCACGTTCCCAAATGTCACGCTTGCAGCAATTGCAGAATATTTACTTCTAATCAAGTCCCTCCCATCTTATTGCAGCTCAAATAGCCATATCGGTATCTTCGCTGCTGTTCTTGTTGTAAACTATGTCCTTTACGGTGTTTTCTGGGTGGTTGTTCACCCAAGGTTTATGAGCCCCCTGCGCTTTCTCCCCGGTCCTCGGGTAAGTACAAGCTCTCTTGGGAATCCCTTTATGTTGCCAGAGATTAGTAGGAAATATCAAAAGCAAGCTTCTCTGCGAGTGGTGCGTTGACATTTCGTTACAGTCGCTATTGAGTGTGATTCACAGGTCACTGCTCGAAACTGCGCGGCCTCCTGGGGAGCTGTACGTTGATCTTGCCAATCAATACCCAAAAAAGGAGCTTTTACATATCAGTCTACTCGAAGAACAACTTTTCATCACGAAACCACGGCTCTTGGCCGACCTCCTTGTTCACCGTTCATATGATTTCATAAAGCCATCACATTTGAGTGGGCTTTTGCGGCACGTGCTCGGCGACGGCCTCGTCATCGTTGAAGGAAGTCAACACAAATTCTTGAGGAAGAATACCATGCCCGCTTTCCACTTTCGCCATATTAAAAACCTATACCCAATGATGTGGGCAAAGTCCATCTCCCTGACCTTGGCACTTCAGCAAGAACTTACCGGAACTCCTACGGTAGGAGAGAGAGTAGATTCTGGTGTCATAGAGCTCACAGCGTGGGCAAGCCGGGTCACTTTGGATATTATCGGAATTGCAGTTATGGGTCGGAGCTTCAACATGCTACAAAAATCGACTGATCCGCTGCTGAACATATATGAGCAGCTGCTTGAACCACAGAGGGAGAAAATTGCTTTCGCTGTTGCCGCAATCGTTTTTGGCATGAGAACCGTTCGGTTGCTGCCTTGGAAGATCAACGCCCGGTTTCGCCAGTTAACAAATTCATTGAATGAAATATGTCGACCGATGATACAAGAGAAAAGGGACGCAATAGTTAAGAACGGGGACGATCATTTTGATATTCTCTCTCTCTTGATCAAATCTAACAATTTCTCTGATGAAGAACTGAAGGATCAGCTACTGACTTTCCTAGCTGCTGGGTACGTGTTTGAAGACTAAAACATATCTGATGGCAACATCACTTTATTTCAATCCGGAAGCTGAATAATATCTAGACACGAGACAACGGCATCTGCAATTACCTGGGCATGCTATCTCCTTGCAACACACCAAGAAATGCAGCATAAGCTTCGCAAGGAGGTTCTTGAAGCCTTGCCTTCGAATTCTCTCCTCGACACCTCAGATATGGAGGACCTTGCAGGAACCCTTGAACAACTTCCATATCTAAACGGGATCATCAACGAGACTCTTCGACTTTACCCCACTGTTCCTGTCACTCTACGCCAAGCAATCCACGACACACATATTGCAGAGTACCCTATTCCAAAGGGAACTGTTCTTGTTTTATCCATTTGGCAAATCAATCGTTCTACGGAGGTCTGGGGCACTGATGCGGACAAGTTTATCCCCGAGAGATGGATCACAGAGGCAGGAAAGCCAAATCAGACAGGAGGCGCCAACAGCAACTATGATTTCGTTACGTTTCTGCACGGGCCTCGGAGTTGCATTGGCCAGAATTTTGCCAGAGCTGAAATGCGGTGCCTCTTAGCGGCCATGGCGACTTCATTCTCATGGGAGTTGGCAATGGACCAAGCAAAGGTTCTACCAAGAGGCGTCATTACGATCAAACCAGCCCACGGTTTGTATTTGAAACTTCAGCCACTGCAGAGGGAAAAAGCAACTCAAGGATGACATTTGTCAATAAGTGAGTTGATATCGTGTTGTAGATAAGATACAGCATGAATGTGGATTCCTTCCTTCATTTCACACCTTGGCCAGGCTTGAGCCATTTTTCTCGAGATAACACGCCCTCGAGCTAAGGACACCCCTGCTGTATGGAGATCCTATCGAGGCTGACAACGAAGCTCTTGATAATGATTATGATTTTTTTTTTAATAGTTGGACAATGAGTAAAAGAACTATGACATATATGTAATGCTAGTGGTATGTATATCTTCTCAATTTCACTCCTCTGGCAGCATTCTCTCCCCTTTTCAAAGGAAACCCACGAATTCTGCCAAAGGAACATTCAAAACAGATGCTTCCGCTATGTCCACCAACTGGCCCAACGTATACATGGCCGCAAAAACAAAGCTTGGATCAGCATTGGGAGTGCTGTAGCTGGGGTTCACCATTAAATCAGCGAGGACAGTGGCGATGTTCTACCGCGTCTTTCTGACTGCCGTCTACGGTAATATGTAACGACGGGGCGCCAAAGACCATTGTGGCTTAGAGAATTGTCCTTCTAATGACACGGTACATCTACGCCGACCCTTAGCGGTACCGGTGCTATCGGCATCATCGTGTGTGGCCAAGGGACCTTGACCCGGGATGGTGGAACCGAAGACGACGACTTCTGATTCTCTTTGGTGGCCACCTTGTCAACCAAGCCAAGACCTAGGTCACCCATATTTTCGATCGAACCGAAACCGTGATTCGATGGGGAACAAACTGGGCGTCGTATATTTTAATAAAGAATTCGATTTTCACCCTCGGGTCCACAATCGGTTTTTGTCAAGTCACCCATTTGTGCGAGGATGTGATATCTCCTGATATGTCGAGTTTTTCTTTTTGGCTTTCGATCGGTTTTCAGTGTCTCCAGCGCGCGACGTGGTCATTTCGGCTCGGAATATCCTCAAGTAGAGTCGGAGTGATGGTAGGATGGAGATTATGAGACAGGTATGCGCGTCTGTCATAAAAAGAGCCTCTGTGAATAGGTGTTAGCCTCGACCTTGGCTGAGAAAGTGTCACTTACGGTCGACGGCGTAGGTACTTGGTGGAGAAACTGGCGAATGTACGATGAACCATCTTATAATGGTGATGCTGATGTTGATAAATCCAAGGCCAAAGGTGAGGCCTGCGCTAATCTTCTGTGCTCTGGACATCTGTAGGCGGCTGATGCAGACGATGGGCAGGACAAAAACTGTTTCATGGCTCGGCTTAGTTTCCCTTTGTTCACCCATAAAAGTCCTATCGACGGTGAAGACATACTGCCGACGTCTGTGGCGAAGTGAAGAGCCCACGCCACAACGTCCTTCTTGAATTGACGATCCTCGTCACGTAGATCAGGATCCATAGACCTATACGTAAGGCCATCAACATTAGTAAATACCACTCAGGCAGAGACAGACGGGAACGGCATACCAGGTGGACCCAAAGGGATCGCCGAATAACATAAGAAAGATGGTGACGATGAATGCACACACACAAAAGCCTGTGAGGACGTATAATGAGATCCGGGTCTTCCGCGAGCGTAGTCCGAAAATTTCGAAATAGAGGGTAATGAGCGTAGCTTTGGTCAGGTACAGCTGCAGATAAAAGGTCAAGTACGAGACAAAAACTACCTTAGCTCATTCAGCCATCAGTATCGCCTTTCTCTGATCAAGCTTTAAGCTGCTGGACACTTACTTTGAGAGCTCGGACCATTACATCCTCTGGACCGCTCCATGTATCATTGGTTTCCTCATACAGTTCAATTCCGCTGGTCCATAAAGCGGTGTCTATAGAGGTATTTAATAGTCCAACGGTAAGAGCGGAAAAGTAGAATATATCCCTCAGAATAAATCCTGACTGGTGATGATGGAAACGCAAATCGAGGCGAGCGAGGCCCAGGATGAAAGCTATGCCGATTAACGTCCACTCGATCGCCTAATTTTCAATTAGTACGCGGGATTCGCTTTTAGATAATAGGGTCCATACTATGAGACCTGCTCCTGACAGTCTGATGAGCATTTTCCTTCGAGGTAGGACAATACGGTCCCGGGCCGTGGGTGAGAGTCAACTTCCATCAGTGTAGCCAAGTCCCTGCTTGGCGTAGCTCTTGCCAACAAAAAATACGTGGATGGGACGTGCGGGCTCTTGTAGATGCAATTGCAACGGTAGAGTTCGATCTATACCCGCCGTTCTGGTCAAATATCCACAAAAGCCAGCCCTCTGGAATGCTCGCTTCTAACCAACAGCGGGAGGAATGATGGCTTCCAGCCTGCACCAGTCAACATCTCCCACGTTTAACGCCCGGAAATCTTTGAAAGCAGGGAGTACGGGTTATCTTTAAACATGATTCTAGAATCACCACTTTGAGCAAGATGAGAAGACGTTCCTTTTGACCAGATCCATCGTATTGCACATGAGCATCTGGTGAACCCAGGCCTACCTTAAGCCCTCAGCTACAGATTCGTATAGGCTAATCTCTGTAGGGCCAAAGGAAATGAAGGTTCTGTGAACAGAATGGTTTGGATCGTAGTGCAGTAGAAGAACCAGTCTCCCGGATTTGGCATTCGAACCCAAGAGCCAGCGGGGCGATTTGGTTTACTTTTCTTCATTACCACGAGACTCTGCAATCGGCCTAGCTTGCCGTTCCCTTCCTCGATCGCGAGCCGAGGAGCTCGGACCAGGCTCTAAACAAATCAGCCGTCCAAGAGCGCCATTCCAGATGAACCCGTGTAGCCGAGCGGGCCCTTATAAAGCCAAGTGCTTCCCCTCGATCCCTCCGGTCACATTACAGGTACGTAAAACGCATCCAGGTCAGGGGTAGCCGCGATTTCAGAGCTGATGATGTTCTCTTTCAGTTACTGATTATCTAAATTATTGGGACCTTTTTCGAATGGCAGAGAACAGCCTACTGAGGTGACCAGCGTATCTATGGTTGTCTCAGATAACTTTTCCCTTGTATCGAGAACCCCAAAGGCCAGTTCGTACTTATCATTTTTCGCCGTGCCCTTTGCCCGTCTCACTCCCATCCCTATTGTTTTTCCTCAGCACACTTTTCATCCTAGTGGGAGTGTAAGAATATATTTAGCATATTATTCGGCCAACAACAACCATAAATAGAAAGGCTGTCTATCTTCTCTTTTAGTCTTTATTTCAGTATTTACTCATGAAACTACCTGCTGCTTATTTTGATTACGATGCGACGATGCGCAGTTCATGTTGTTTCACTCTCTAAATCAATTGCTCAGCTAACTTTAGAGGGCGTGTAAAATTATTCCCCTGCTTGTTATCTCCTACTTGAGTCCTTATCGTCTGGTGGATATTCTCATGTTTGCCCCGTATGAAAGTCGTCTAGGGTTGAGGGGGTGTGACTTGGCATTGCGGGCACCAATCAAGGCGCAATATCTTATCAACACATGCACTCCTCTTCCCGACAGCGAGAATATTCGAGTGGTTCCTGCGGGGAGGCATTTTTGACAAGATACATATTAAGAATATAAGCACACGCCCCTTCTTATCGTTACCAGATCAAGGCATTAAGTGGCCGTATATTTGCTTGCCTCAACTCTTAGCCTTGGTTCCGGACCATCTACCCCAGGTCGTTGCTTTTCGTTACATGCTCTAGACTTCAACATTCGCTATTCTGCATCCCGAGATAGAGGGCCCCGAGGAATAAAACCTATCTCGCGTTTGTTACCAAATATCCCTCATCACACTCCTAGCACGGACAACAGTTGGGAAAGGTGCTTGATGCTAGTTGTCACAACTGCTTTCCCAGAGAAATGTCTTTCAAATCAGAGGCAATAGTTGCCCGAGGGCCCTTCTCTGAGGGGAAATGGGCAATTGAACCCGTGACCCTGCGGGACCTCAAGCCCGACGAGTTGCTAATCGAGATGGTGGCGTCTGGCATCTGCCACACTGATCTTCACTGCGGGAACACCCCAGATGATAAGGGAGTTCCAGCCGTCTTTTACCCCCGAGTTCTTGGCCACGAAGGTGCGTGACTTCCCTTCCTGATGGGGTGTGGACACCATGCCACAAGCTTATTCTCGAGCGTTGTAAGATTTTAACAGCGTGAATAGGCTCCGGCTATGTGGTAAAAGTCGGCAATGAGGTAACAAAAGCCAAAGAGGGCGACCCCGTCCTCCTATCATTCTCCTACTGTGGCGAATGCCATGTTTGCAAGACCGGACCACCCTCGCACTGCACAAACTTCTTTGAGATCAACTTCATGGGGGAGCCGGTCTTCTCTGACGGGATCGGCGGTCGCTTCTTCGGACAGTCCAGTCTTGCTCGCCATTCTGTCGTCAGCGACAAGTGTGTTGTCAATGTATCCGGCCTGGGGCTGAGCAGGGACGATTTGAAGACGTTGGCCCCTCTGGGTTGCGGACTCCAAACTGGCAGCGGCACGATCGTCAATGTAGCCAAGGCAGGGCCCGAGGACTGTGTCACTATCGCGGGAATGGGTGGCGTGGGGTTGGCGGCTGTGATGGCAGCAAAGGAGAGGAAATGCAAAGCCATCATTGGAATTGATCGTGTCGAGGCTCGCCTTGAGCTTGCCAAGTCACTCGGCGCAACTCATGTCATCAACACGACTGGGTTATCTATGGAGCAGGTGACTGAGAAGATCAAGGTGGCCGCTGAAGGGCTTGGGTCAACAATCTCCATGGACACAAGCGCTTACCCGCCACTCCTAGCTGCTCAGATCGATGGCACTCGGTACATGGGCAAGATCATCCAAGTGGGAACCGGCATGCCTGATGCAAACATATCGCTTCACATGCAGAGCTTCATGGTCAGCGGGAAGCAGTATTTCGGGGCTGTGCAGGGTCACTCTAGGACTGAGAAGTATATTCCTGAGATGATCCAATGGTGGAAGGATGGCATTTTCCCTGTCGAGAAGCTGATCAAACTCTTTGATTACAAAGATTTCAGCGGTGCAGTTTCATCTATGGGGAGTGGCGATGTTGTAAAACCAATCATTACGTGGTAATTCATTGAATTATACGTAGGAGAAAATAAGATAAAGTTTTACCAGCAATGAAACGACCAGGGCCTGGACAACTCAACGCAGTGAATATTCATTGAATTATTTGATGTTGAAAGCTTCATTTGACCAACGATCCCAAGACAAGGAACTGCTCGGAGGAATTCCCATGTCGAATATTAACGCTCCATGGCGTCATGGTCAGATGACGACGCCCAGGTTCTAACGAACACTAGGTAATTTTTCATTCCAAAGGCTCCCGCTACTCCGGAAAATTAGCAATAGTGTAAGATGGCAGCTGAACTGACTACACGAAACGGGGCCGGTGGTAGGCACCGGCGCGAGAACTAACAACTGTAGCCTGATTACGGTAGGCTGCGATATCATATTCTTATTGGTGACGAACGTGCTAATCGCGATCAATAATTTGTGCCCACAAGGCTTCTGATTGGCATCTGCCGAGTTGATGATGTGCTTGGCTGACAAGGCAACAGCATTTTCCCTCCGCGGCAGAGCCTCCCTTTCTGTACACATCAGGCAGCATTCAATTGAACGAGGACATAAAACTGGGCATGGCATAACAGGCTTCTCATTCATTCCGAAATATCTCAATCCTCACGCCTCTACTGCCACAATGTCTTCCGACCTTCCAACATCATTCGCTAACGACCGATCAACCTTCGAGGCCGCACTGATGAGTCTCTTCTCCGGGCCGCCCGAAAATGCCGAGTCTGATTTCCTCAAGGTGTTCACTCCCACGTCCACGATGCGCGCCGATGACAGGAAATTTGATTTTGCTGCCTTTGTCGCCCAAAACCGCCGGGTCAGAGAACGGAAGCCCAAAGTCTCGATTACGGTGACCCAGTTCCTTCGCGACGGAAAGCAGTTTGCCGATAGGCATGACTCCACCACAGAGTTGCCGGATGGTACGTTTATGGAGGCTGAGACTTTCATGTTTGGCGAGGTTGCGGAGGATGGGCGACTCGCTTGGATTGTGGAAACGGTTCGACACATCAAACGAGATCCGATTGTTGACACAATTCACCTTGAGGAATAGCCAGATACGTCGTCAAGAGGGCGTCAGAATAACTGAGGTGTGTTAATTCTAAGTTTCCAATTTAGACCACGATATTGATGGACAATAGCTAAGAAGGAAGAAGAGAGAAGGCACCAAGCAATTATTAGGCAATATTATCTGCTTATTATTACACAATATGAATCATTATTATGACTAACTGACTGCTACAATAACTTCGCTGAGGTGGCTTTGCAGTCCTTATTTTCTGACAATTACTTGGTCGTTGATTCAAGAAGAGTTTTGCGTTGGCGGATGTAGAAGAGTCACCTTAATCGATCAGGCATATGAAGGTTATTTCTACACATTCAATTGGGGGCTTCAATCGAGACGATATCTTTCTAAGACTTGAATCAATGAAAGGAAAATGTGATCTTTCAAAAACACTCAATCGCGATAAATACTCTTAGCATCGTAAAACAACATGAGCTCAACTTGGGAATGTTTGCCAGGATCACTGTTCAGCAAGCTTCAAATTCTCACGAATCCCTTTGATTTTGTCCTCTGAAAACTTCAATATCAACTGAGGTACCCTTTGCGCCCCAATACTTGATCCTCAATCGCTCTACAAAGTCAGCCATGACCTCATGGCTCGGGGGCTGGGGTCGAGGCGAGCTGCCGCTCGAGTTCCTAGAGAAAGATGGTCAGATAACGCTTTTAGATACTGTCATGGATCATACCCGATGCCCCTGGCCAAGCAAATGTCTCCTCATCGCGGCCACAGTAATATAGCTATACCCATGATCAGAACTCTTCAACCCGACAAACATAGTCACCCTCAAGTGACCAGTTGATAGTCGAGCTTGGTAAATGGGAGTATAGTCGATCTATCTGCAGGGATAAACAGGCCAGACGCCGGAGGAGCTCACTTGAACGTTAAATAAAGAAGATATTAGACCTAATAAACTTAATATAATAAATATAAAAGATTAATAAAGAAAGCTTTATTAGCTTAAAACTATAGTTATATAGTAGAAAATTCTCTTAATCTTTATACTAATAGCTTACTTACTATTAGGATAAACTATATATTAAATAACTATTAAAACTACTCTTATTATCTAGCTTTCTTTATATACTTATATATTAATCTATATACTTTAATATACTAAGTATAAATTTTTTTAGCTTATAAAAATACTAATTAATCTAGTAAGTACTAGTAATTTTTTAGTTAGAGTACTAATATTAATATATCTATAGCTATTAATATAATATATTAGATAACTAGATCTTAGTACTTTCTTTTAAAAGTAATAATATTACTTAATCTAATATAATAAAGTCTAAGATTAATACTAATAATCTAAAGCTTATTAGTTTTATTAAAACTATTAAGATTAATAAATTTAATTAATTTAATCTTAATAATCTCTTTATAGAATAAATTAAAACTTTATTTAATTTTAATTAAAATATTCTTAGATATATATCTAAGAATAAGCTTAATATAAAGATTATCTTAATAATAAGAAGTAAGAGATTAATATAATACTAGTTCTTTATATATAAGACTGGATCTTTCCAGAAGAATACTATTAATAAGAAGAGTAAATAAAGAGGTATAATAAGAAGGAAGAAGAAGATATAAGAAAAGCAGGGTTTAGAAGAGGTTAGCCTTAATAAAAAAGCTTCTTAACCTTTATACAGTGAGATACGGGCCAGACGCTGCGCCGCCTCAAAGTTCGCCTCCGCAGCTGCCCAAAATTTATCTGCTATTACCATACGTTCGCAGATCCAACCCATTTGACAAGTCATCCTCTGAACAAGTGGTAATATAAGGATAACTGTAGTTGGAATTAAGACTAACAATCGAATTCTTCCTCCTCTTCCTCTTCTACTTCTTCTTCCTCCTCCTCTTCTCCCAACCAAGGGCCTCGTAGTACCCAGGCGGCAACTCTACGTCCGGCCATTCGGAACCGGGCGCGTTTGGATCGATGGAAAAATCGGGCTCCGGGATGATATAAATTGAGGCTTCAGTGTCTCGTAGGGGGAGAGAATCCCTATCAAACTCGAAATCCTGACGATGCCATGGTGAATTGGCGCAAGGCAATGAACTCGATCCAGTTGTTCGAGGGAATTGAATACGTCGGACATGAAGTGAACGGTTTCCCACGACGAGTTTGGTTTGGAAACAAGCGCATCGTAATGCGAGAAGTCGATCATCTCCAAGGACAAAAGGCACTTTGGACAACTCGACCAAAACAGGCCCAGCCCGCCCCTCGACCGAAAAAGTTCGCAAAGAACGTGAAAGTTATGAAGGACGCATTTTAGATGCCAAGACCTTTATCAGAAAGCAAGGGCTCCCTCCTTTGGATTCTCCATTTCGGCGTGTGGTTGATTCCGACTTGTTGCATTTGAATACGTGGCGAGGAGAGACTCTTTGCGACCTGTGCAGTATCTTAAGGAGAAAAGTAGAGTCCAGACAACCTGGATGTCTTCTTTGGGATTATGTCCGCGATAACAGTTGTACTAACGTTTTGGTTTGTGTCTGTTACTCGGCCCTCAACCGGCCTCGTACATTTTTAGCCACAATACTTACGGATAAATAGGGAAACGACAAACCATCGCCATGCCAGAACACACCCCTGAGCATGTGCAGCAGAACCGAGTGGAGATCCATGACATATTATCGGTCTTTGAGCCCTGCAGAATTGCAAACCGCTCAAACAATTGCTTCTCCATTTGAAGGTGAGGAGAATCTGATCAACTTTGCGTTCGGCGCGACTCCGTGCATCGCCATTGAGCACGTGGCGCTTGGTGCGTTGCGAGGCCAACGAGACCTCACACGTATCGAAGCACTGATCATTCTTCGACAATGCACGTCAGCGTTGTCGTTCCTTCATGGCCATCAACCGATGCCCAAGAAGACGAGCAGGAGGCGGTTGTTTCGGAGGAAGATTTGGAGGAAGATGAGTAGAATTATCTCATATCTATGCTACTCTTTGGCTATAGAGTCCAAGGAGTGGTATCGTGGTTTACGTTCAGGATTTGGTGAGGGATGTGCTTTTATAGTGAGGTAGTAGTTTCACGAGAGAAAATCCAGTAGGAAATGCATACCGTCTAGGACGAAGTAGAACGAAAGCACGGACTATGGACAAAGAAGATAGACGAGGGGTAGAAAGGCCGGTGGGGAATGCGCAGTATTGAATGAGGTAGATTGAAGAATGAAAGAAGAAGCTGCAAATGGGAGGGCTCGTCCAGCTTTTTGTGTGAGTATCTAGAGGTTGAAAGGAGCAGGGTGACTTCCTTCCTTCCCAAACTTGATGTCGCGACGGCAAAAGTTAATAACAATAATCAAGTATTGAGTAATTGTTGCATTGGTAGTATCATGTATTATCACACAGCGCGGAGAGGTGTTGTTGTTGATTGTGGATGATGAGCATCTTTGGTGCGCTTGGCAGGGATAACGAAACATCCCACAAACAAAGAAGCAGGGGGTGTAAGCCATTTGCTGACATGCAGTAAAGGACCAGTTTCATCCTGGCACCGCTTTGAGAATAGTTAACTCTGACATCTTACTTCTCCGCCTGGCATCAACGCAATAAACCGAATTGAGTCTACTCCGCCTCACAGAACACGATGACGTTGCCCGTCAATCCCGCCTTGGATTCGGAAGTCAGCCGAGAAATTGGTCGAGTATGGAAGCAAGTCGAGAGCCGAGTCTTGCAGATGGCGGGCGGGGATGAATCGATGCTGCAGAAGGATCTGACCATTGAGAGCGTCATTTCTTCCCTGAATCAGACTCAGGCAAGCAACAAGAAGGAAGCAGAGAAGTACGGCCAGGTCAGGAACGTGTTTCAAAGAACACTGCAATGTATCCAGACGGTGGGAGGCATCGTGACGACGGGTGTTTCAACGGTGAGCACTGGCCCGACCTTGACAACCCTCAGGGCCCGACACGTCATCCATTCGTATCAATGCTAATCGATTGCTATCTAGGTATTCGCGCCAGCTAGCACTTGCTATAACGCCCTCACGTTTGTGATTCAGGCTTGGCAGGGCTACGAGGGCATTTTCGACAGTCTGACCTCTCTTCTCGAGAAATGCATTGATTTCATGAGCCGTCTAGAAATTTACGCTCAAGGTGGAATGGACTCGAAGCTCACGATGGTCGCCTGTTTACACCTCCAAATCTTCGTCGAGATATGCGATCGCTGTCTGAAACTGAGACAGAAGCGACACAAGCTGGCGGCCTTCATGAAACAACTATTTCTCAACGACGACGGCGTCCAAGGTCTTCTGGCGAGCATGAGCGGGCTGATTGATAAAGAGCGAGGGTTAGTTGCTGCCCAAACTTGGAAGTCAAGTATTGAGGCGGCGGAGAATTCAAGAGACGGACTATCACTCACCCGCAAAATGCATGCTAGCCTCATGGAGGACAAGAGTATTCTGATGAAAGAGAAGGACATCAAAGTGTGGAAGCAGAGTATTTTCACGACTTTGAATTGCGCACAAGACATCCTGGAGGACGGCTCAACTAAGCCATGGGATGAGACTTGGAATAGATACAAGTCGACTATTCTTCAGGATACCGGCGAGTGGCTTTTCCAAGACGCCAGGCTCACCTCATGGCTGAACGGTAACGACAGCAAGGATCGAATTCTAGGTCTTCAGGGTGAAGTTGGAACTGGAAAGACTCTTCTAGCTTCCAACTTTATACTGAACATTCGAAAAGGAAAGCTGAGAGCCCCCGAATATTTAGGTTCCAGGGTTATAATCGCCCATAACTTCACGGATATGGAGACAAGACCAACAGCCGTGGATGATGTCAACTCAAAAGCTGCTCTCATGTCAAGCAATCTAATTTGTCAGCTAGCCATGGCTGACGAGTCGCTGATGAAGAGCATTGCGTCGATATGTGATCGATCAAAATACCTAGAAAGCCCCAAAGAGATGTGGTCTGAGTTGTTGTTCGACAATGAAGATCTTCTTTCTATGGATATCACATTGTTCATCGTCTTTGATGGAATAATCGGCAGCATTCGGCATTTTTCTCAGATTCTTCAAGGTCTCTTCAACAGCCCTGTTTCAGATCGAATACGCATTATGATTACTGGAAGTCAAGACTTCTTTAACGAGCTCGAGACGGTTGGTGGTATCAAGGTTGCGAAGGTACCACTGGCCAAGTCTAATGAGTCAGATATCGAGATCTACATTAAAGATAGAATGAACCATATGGACATTCTCAAGGAGAATACTCCAAGTGTAGTGGATATCAGAGCACGGATCCTCAGAGAGCTCCCCAAGTCCACTGAGGGTGACTACCATAAGATCAACAGGGTCTTGGATAACATCAGTAAAACGGATGACCCTGACGAGATTGATTTTCAGCTTGAATCTGCACGACGC